TCAGCTTTTTTCCAAAAATATTTTTTTTGTGTGTTCAACAGACATAAAGAACTCATTAATGTTTGAAACCACTTCAGGGAGGGTACATATGTAGTAGCTTTTCATTTTTGGGTGAACTATCCCTTAAAGTAGAACATGTTGGGACTGATTAGATTGAATATAGCCTACAGTGAGGGAGTTTTGTTTTGCTAGTCTCTGATCTCTGATGTTTCCCAGTACTGGGTTGGGGCTGGAAGGGCATCCGCTGTGTAAACATATGCTGGAATAGTTGGCGGTTCATTCCACTGTGGTGACCCCTGATAAATAAGGGACTAAGCTGAAGGAAAATTAATGAACGAATAATCTGTGATGCTAAGGCTCAAAAGCTATTAGGCATTTAAAGGGGCAGTTTACTCAAAAAATGAAAATTCTGTCATCATTTACTCACCCTTTAAAAAGCTTTATGAGTTTATTTCCCCTGTTAAACATAAAAGATGTTTTGAAAAATGTTGGATACTTGTAACCATTGACCATTCCAGTGTATTTTATTTCTACTATGGAAGTGAATGGTTACAGCTTTCTTCAAAGTTTGGTCATCATTTACTTGTTTCAAACCTGTATGAGTTTCTTCTTTTCAATGCAAAAGAAAATGTTTTGAAGAATGTTGAAAACCTGTAACCATTGACTTGCAGTGTATTTCCAGTTTTTTTTTTCCAGTGAAAATTGAATGAAATTCTCTCATTGTTCACTCACCCTTTACTTATTTCAAATTTTTATGAGATTATTTTTCCCTTGTTGAACACAAAAGAAGATGTTTTGAAGAATGCTGAAAACCTGTAACCATTGACTTCCAGTGTATTTGTTTTTCCTACAATAAAAGTCAATGGTGACAGCATTCTTCAAAATATCTTTTTCTTTTGTCAAGTGTCAAACCGTATTGGACATTTAAAGGGACAGTTCACACAAAAAGTCTAATTCTGTCATCGTTTACTCGCCATTTTAAACCTATGAGTTTCTTTCTTCTCTTGAATGCAAAATAAGATATTATGAAGAATGCTGAGAATTTAATGAAAATTCTCTCATTGTTCACTCACCTTTTACTTGTGTTAAACTTTGTATAAGATTATTTACCTCTGTTGAACACAAAAGAAGATGTTTTGAAGAATGCTGAAAACCTGTAACCATTGACTTCCAGTGTATTCATTTTTCCTACATTGAAAGTCAATGGTTACAGATTTCTACAAAATAACAAATGAAAGAAACTCATAATTGTGTGAAACCACTTTAGGGAGAGTAAATACTGAGTAACCTTTGATTTTTGGGTGAACTGTCCCGTTAAGTAGAACATGGGACTGGTTTGAGGGTCAAACTGTGTGTGAATGTTTACATGTCGCTAGTTCTCATGAGCAGGTGCTGTTTGAATTATCTTGTATAATTATGTGAAGGGACTATTTTGTCTTGAGTTCACAGTGGGGGTGAAATCCGATATCATCCTGTTGTTACTGTCATTTAAACATGTAATTTCTGACAACTGTGTCAACATTAAACTATGTATAATCAGCACCTCTTGTGTGTATTGTGGTGGTAGCATGGTGGCTCTATGGTTAGCACTATCGTCTCATAGGAAGAAGGTCACTGGTTCGAGTCCCGACTGGGTCAGTTGTGTGTATATATATATGTGTGTGTGTGTGTGTGTGTGTGTGTGTGTGTGTGTGTGTGTGTGTGTGTGTGTGTGTGTGTGTGTGTGTGTGTGTGTGTGTGTGTGTGTGTGTTTGTGAACTATTAATTGACATGAAGTTACAGAAATGCTACTATGTCGTGATCTATTTATTGTTATCAGGGATATGAGACAAAAAAAGAATACAGAAGTACTGCTCTATTATCATATGCATGTGTACAGGAACTGTGCTATTATAATGTGTTGTGAGCATGTGCTTATTGTGCATAAATGGAAATAAGTATTGAACTTATTTGCATTTTAGTATTGCAAATAAGTATTGAACACGTCACCATTTTTCTCAGAAAACATATTTCTAAAGGCGCAGTTGGCTTGAAATTTTGACCAGATGTTAGTAACAAGCAAAGAAATCCACATATGCAAAGAAAACAAAACTAAATCTTTTTATAAATGAAGCTTTGTGTAATAAAATGAAAAAGTATTGAACACATGAGGAAAGGGGGGTGTATTCCGGCAGTGAAAGCCCAGACTGCAGCTGAAATCTCTCAGTAGTTCTTCAGCAAGCCTCTGCCCTTCCTCAGTGTAAATGACTATCAGCTGCTTCAGTCCAACATCTACATCAGCAGGAGGATGAAGATGAACCCAGGGTGGACATTTCAGCTAGACAAAAGGGGTGTCAAAATTAATTGTTTCTTAATTGTATTAAAAACACTCAGGAGCCAACTCAGCGCCGGCCCGTGGCATAGGCACCATAGGCAAATGCTAAGAGCGCTGTATATCCAGAGGGGCGCCAGAAAGGAGCGCCGTTCAGTTGGTTTTGTTTTGATAATCCTGACACACATTTAGTTAAAGACGGCAATAACTCAAAAACCTCTTACCCTAAAAAGATCTAAAGTGTGTTTCCTACAAAAAGACAAAGGGCTCTATTTTGACGGTCCATGCGCAGGGCGCAAACGCTTTCAGGGCGTGTCAGGACACGTTTTTGCTAATTTAAGGACGGGAAATCTGCCTTGCGCCACGGCGCATGGTCTAAAAGGGTTGAGTTTATTTTGTTATTGAGTTATAGGTGTGTTTTGAGAATAAACCAATCAGAATCTCATCTCGCCTTCCCTTTAAGACCCAGCTGCGTCGCGCCAACAGCGCATTCGCTATTTACAGGACGCAAAGTAAGTGTAAGTGGAAAAACTGAGCAATTCACAAGCAAACAGTTAAACAGAGCATCTGCAGCGTGAGAATGAGAGATAATGGATCACTTTCACTTTCGCTCTTGGATAGGGAAACCTTTGCGCACAGACATCAATTAGTCTATAAATAAATAATTTCGTTTGTTAAGCGCAAATATTCGTTTCAAAACTATTTCTAAATTCAGTTCTAATTTCCAGCAAACGGATAAATGAACAATAATAACAAAATGTGCTCAAAAACCTGAGTTATATCCTAAAACACATGCTGTGCCCCATATGGTCTAAAACCTGACAGGTGGGCAAATCTAAGCTTGTTTTTAATAAAACAAATATAAATATGGATATAATAAATAATACTGCTAATTATAATAACATTATACAAAAGCAAATTGTTATGAATGAACTGAAAAAGCCTCCCGAGATGAAGAAGACATAAAATCAGTGATTTTTCATATTTATGTAGGCTAGAAAATAATATGTTTTGTAATATTTTAATCCTTTATATTTATATTCTATATCTATTCTTATTATATCCTATATATATCCTTAATATTTAATTGTTTTCATATGTAAAGATATTTGCCTATTGCTCTCTTGTGTGTATTAAGCAGTGTGTAAGCGAGGTGCAACTCTGCGCTGGAGTTTAGACCGGGTTTGTTTTGGTCTAATGAAAAATCTATTTTAGTTTCTCAAAATAGCAACGCGCCAGCGGTCCGCCTCAGAACGCCTTCCTTTTTAGAGCAGAACGCCTATGGGCGCACAAATGAGCACTAATGCATTTGCTATTTAAACAGCGTAGCGCAACGCCTCAAAACCACTCTTGCGCCAAGCTGAAACTAGCAAAAGACTATTACGCCACGCCTTGCGCCACACTGCGCCGGGTATATGATAGGGCCCAAAGCTGGTTATGTTTCACAGCTGTCTTTCTTTTTTTTTGCTCGACATTTCGAGCAATGCTCCGTTTAGGCCCTCGCAATATGTTTTTAGCCAAGAGAGCTCGCGCTGAGAGGAGCTCTCAGTTTTTTCAGTTTTTTTTTTTTCCGTTTTTCTGCTCCGCTCAGCGCGAGCTCTCCCTGTTGCGAGGGCTTAAGTGTGTGTGTGTGTGTGTGTGTGTTTGTGTGTGTGTGTGTGTGTGTGTGTGTGTGTGTGTGTGTGTGTGTGGTGCTGTCTATGTTTGTGTATGTGTTTGAATGAGAGACAGTGTAGTGCTGTGTGTCTGTTAGTTTACACAGACAGCATGTTATCCCCCCTAAAATATAACACTGTATATGGAAAGCATCGTCAATGCACCGTGATGCACCGAGATATCGAATTGAACCGAATCGAAGGCATGATCGTAACCGAACCGTGAGACTAGTATAGGTTCACACTTCTACTAGACAATGATCCAAAACACAGCCAATGAGACTCTCAGATGCTTTGAGAGAAAGAAAATCAAGCTGTAGAATGGCCCAGCCAATCACCTGATCCGAATCCAATAGAGAATACAAATGAAGGCTCCGATTTGACAGACGAGACCCACAGAAGCATCAAGATTTTGACACTGCTAAAGTCTGTGAGAAACTCCCACCTGAGCAATGCATGAGGCTTCATTCTCCATATCAGAGGCGTCTTCAAGCTGCAGCACCAATAAAAGCCTTTTATATAAAGTATTAAACACATTTCAGTAGTTCAGCTCTTTCTCCTTCTGTCATTTCATATTACACAAAAGACATGTTCAGATTTGTTTTGTTTTTATGTTTGTATTGTTTGGGTTTTTACCGAAATCTGCTTTATTTCCATGTCTGCAGCTTCTTTAGAAATATTATCCCCAGGAAAAAAACATGACAGTGTGTTCAATACTCAATTCCCCTGCTGTATATGTGTGTGTTGATGAAATGCAGTGACAATGGAGTGATGTCCCTAATGCAGCATTATTTAAACAAATAAACAGGATCAATGGCAACAAAAGGGAAAAGCCACAGGGTAATCCAGTAAAGCAGGCAAAGGTCTGGGCAAGCAGAACACAAACGTTAATCCAAAAGACAATCCAAGAGTAAATACAGAGGAAGGCTGGGTAAACGCTTTGCCTACACAGTAGAACAGGAGTGTGCGTGTGAATGGAGTTTATATAGTGTGTGTAATCGGTGTAAATGATGAGCTGTGTTTGTGTGTGTTAGATGGACGGGCCGATGCGTGTGCTGGTGACGGGTGGCAGTGGGCTGGTGGGCCGAGCGATAGAGCGAGTGGTGAAAGAGGGAGAAGGAAGAGAAGGAGAAGAATGGATATTCCTGTCGTCCAAAGACGCCAATCTCTTGTGAGTACTCTGAACAAACACTCCTCAGGGGTCACACTGCGATCATACAGCACTGTTCAGAATTGTGTGTTATCCGCTTGTTAAGTGGTGGCGTATGTAATACTGTTTCCGGGTCTCATTTGAGTTGAGAAATGATTTGTTTATGATCGCTTTGTTATGATCAATTTGTTTATGATCACAAATGAAAATTAATTTTATATAAAGTCATGGTGTACACAACAATCTCTGGGCTTGCTGCAAAACAAATACCAAAGTTGTAACAATTTATAAAAAAATTAATCACTTTCTGGCCATCGGATATTAGGCATGGGCATATATATTGCAATCGTGATTTTCGAAAGTATTAAATTGTTTTGTAAACGTTTATTATTACCATTTCATGAGTCTCCCCATACAGTTGAATAGAGCGCTTGGATCGGAAGCTGCTCCGCGTGACGTCACACTTAACAAGCGGATTACATGAGTATATGAAATACTTGATTTTGATTGGTCAGTCGTGACTTTCTAAAGTACGTTATTCCAGATAGCAAATGATTAAACTAAACACAGGCAAAAAAATTACTTAGCTTAATAATACATACAAATGTTAACGTGTTTTAATGTATTTTACTTGATTTAGCACCAAAGTTAATTTTATTTTTCACCTACTAAACAGTTTTTTTGGGCGGCACAGTGGCTCAGTGGTTAGCACTGTGACCTCACAGCAAGAAGGTCGCTGGTTCGAGTCCCGACTGGGTCAGTTGGCATTTCTATGTGGAGTTTGCATGTTCTCCTCGTGTTGGCGTGGGTTTCCCTCACAGTTCAAACACATGCGCTATAGGGCAATGGATTAACTAAATTGACCATAGTGTATGAGTCTGTGTGTGAATGAGTGTATGGGTGTTTCCCAGTACTGGGTTGCGGCTGAAAGCGCATCCACTGCATAAAACATATGCTGGAATAGTTGGCGGTTCATTCCGCTGTGGCAACCCCTGATAAATAAGGGACTAAGCTGAAAAGAAAATGAATGAATCACTTCTCCTTTTCCCAGTTCAGACAATACTCTGAATTTGGCTATCAAACTTTGGTTATGTAAAAGAGGTGTCTGTGAGTGCATCTCTAGCTGTGGTGTGTCCTTCCCTAATCTCAGTGAACTAGAACTATTACTCAAACATGGTTATCACACATGGTGTAAAACAGAAATTAATGTAATAATGTCAAATAAAGCATTAGACATGGTGTTCTCTGTACAAGTTAAGTATAGTTGATGTATTATTAGCCCCCCTGTATATTTTTTTCCCCATTTTCTGTTCAACACAAAGATTTTTTTGCACATTTATAAACATAATAGTTTCAATAACTATCTTCTAATAACTTTAATACATAATTTCTAATAATAAAACACATTTTCTTTTGGTGCTTTAGGAGCCCTGAAGAGACTAAAGCAGTGTTTGAGAAGCATCGTCCCACACACGTCATTCATTTAGCTGCGATGGTCGGCGGACTCTTTAGAAACATGAGACAGAACCTGGACTTCTGGGTAATTATTGACATTGTTACATTGGATTAGAGCTCTGGTGAAAAATCATTTGAAAAAATTGATTCTGCAATTTTTAAAATGCATAGATATTTCTGCTTGAATCAATTCTGAGCTTAGTTTTTAACAGCGGCGAGCACTTACATTTAGCCTAGAGCACAGTCTACTGTAAAAACCTAGCCTAGAGTATTGTTTGCTTTAAAAAACGAACATAGAGTGCTGTCTGCTGTTATAAAATACACTAGACCGCCATCTGCAGTTAAAAACTGTCCTAGATCGCCATCTGCTGTTAAAAAGTAGGCTAGAGTTTTGTCTGTTGATTAAAAACTAGCCTAGAGCATCATCTGCTGTTAAAAACTGGCATAGAGTGCCATGTGCTGTTAAAAACAAACTTAGAGCACCATCTGCTTTTTAAAAACTATTCTAGAGTACCATCTGCTGTCTTAAAACTAGCCTAGAGTGCCGTCTGCTGTCTAAAAACTGTTCTAGAGCGCCGTCTGCTGCTAAAAACAAACCAAGAGTTTCATCTACTTTTTAAAAACTATTCTAGAGTGTCGTCTGCTATTTAAAAACTATTCTAGAGCGCCATCTGCTGTTTGAAAACTATTCTGGAGTGCCGTCTGCTGTTTAAAAACTAACCTAGAGCACCATCTGCTGTTTAGAAACTAGCCTAGAGCACCATCTACTGTTTAAAAACTAGCCTAGAGTGCTGTCTGCTGTTAAAAGCTAGCCTAGAGTTCCTTCTGCTGTTAAAAACTAGCCTAGAGCACCATCTGCTGTTTAAAAACTAGCCTAGAGTGCTGTTTGCTGTTAAAAACTAGCCTAGAGCACCATCTGCTGTTTAAAAACTAGCCTAGAGTGCCGTCTGCTGTTAAAAACTATCCTAGAGCAACATTTGCTGTTTAAAAACTAGCCTAGAGTGCTGTCTGCTGTTAAAAACTAGCCTAGAGTGCCGTCTGCTGTTAAAAACTAGCCTAGAGCACCATCTGCTGTTTAAAAACTAGCCTAGAGTGCCGTCTGCTGTTTAACCCTAGCATGGAGCGCCGTCCGCTATTAAAAACAAACCTATAGTGCCTTCTGCTGTTAAAAACAAACCTAGAGCACCATCTACTTTTTAAAAACTAGCCTAGAGCAATGTCAGCTGTTAAAAACTAGCATAGAGTGCCATCTGCTGTTAAAAACTAGCATAGAGCACCGTCTGCTTTTAAAAACTAGCATAGAGCGCCGACTTCTGTTAAAAACTAGCCTAGAATGCTCTCTGCTGTTTAAAAACTAGTATATAGCACTGTCCGCTGTAAAACCCTAGCCTAGAGCACCGTCTGCTGTTAAACACTAACCTAGAGTGTCATCTAATGTTTAAGAACTAGCCTAGAGCACCGCCTGCTATTAAAAACTAGCCTAGAACGCCATCTGCTGTTAAAAACTAGCCTAGAGCGCCGTCTGCTGTTATAAACTAGCCTAGAGCGCCATCTGCTGTTAAACCTTAGCCTAGAGCGCCATCTGCTGTTATAAACTAGCCTAGAGCGCCATCTGCTGTTAAACCTTAGCCTAGAGCGCCATCTGCTGTTATAAACTAGCCTAGAGCAACATCTGCTGTTAAACCTTAGCCTAGAGCACCATCTGCTGTTAAAACTAGCCTAGAGCACCACCTGCTGTTAAAGCTTAGCCTAGAGCGCCATCTGCTCTTAAAACTAGCCTAGAGCACCATCTGCTGTAAAACCCTAGCCTAGAGCACCGTCTGCTGTTAAACACTAACCTAGAGTGCCATCTAATGTTTAAGAACTAGCCTAGAGCACCGCCTGCTATTAAAAACTAGCCTAGAACGCCATCTGCTGTTAAAAACTAGCCTAGAGCGCCGTCTGCTGTTATAAACTAGCCTAGAGCGCCATCTGCTGTTAAACCTTAGCCTAGAGCGCCATCTGCTGTTATAAACTAGCCTAGAGCGCCATCTGCTGTTAAACCTTAGCCTAGAGCAACATCTGCTGTTAAACCTTAGCCTAGAGCACCATCTGCTGTTAAAACTAGCCTAGAGCACCACCTGCTGTTAAAGCTTAGCCTAGAGCGCCATCTGCTCTTAAAACTAGCCTAGAGCACCATCTGCTGTTATACCATAGCCTAGAGCGCCGTTTGCTGTTATAAACTAGCCTAGAGCGCCATCTGCTGTTAAACCTTAGCCTAGAGCGCCGTCTGTTGTTAAACCCTAGCCTAGAGCATCACCTGCTGTAAAAAAAAAACTAGCCTAGAGTGCTATTTGCTGTTAAAAACTAGCCTAGAACGCTGTTAAACATTGAGCTCAAAATCAATTTAAGGCAGACTAGTGCTGCATTTTGATTATTTTTCTGCTGATTTTCACCACAGCTCTACTGGAAGTCTATAAATGGATATACAAATTAATTTGTTTATTTGTTTGCTTTTATTTCCAGAGAAGTAATGTGTTCATCAATGACAACGTGCTGCAGGCGGCTCATGATTCTGGAGTGGTCAAAGTGGTTTCTTGCCTGTCGACCTGCATCTTCCCAGATAAAACCACCTATCCCATAGATGAGACAATGGTAAACGTGTACAGTCGTGTGAAAAAGTTAGCACACCCTACTGATTTAATGTTTTTCTGTTTCAGCAAATAATGGTACTTAGCGGATCTTAAAATCTATGCATCGCTTGACGTCTCACAGCGCGTCATTATTTATTGAAAAAATAAAGCCAAGGCAGAAAAGCCATGGGTGACTGTTAAAACACTCTCCATGCCAGATTAATAAAATCTAGCCCCGGTTGCCAGATTCTTTCAGAAAATGTCTGTTGCTCTTGGTTTCCAAACATCTACAGAACTTAATGATTGTAACATTCAGAAAGTAAGTATTATTATACCACAAGCAACAGCAATGGAAAATTACTGCTTGACAATATTATCTAGACACACTACAGACCTTTACATGGACACTTTCTCTTATCTCCTACTCATGAAGACAAGTTTCTCTTGAGTACACACAGTCATATGGTTTTAACAATATGGAAAAAAGGAAATAATAGTAAAGCAATAATTATAGGAAAGCAGTAATAATAAAATGCAATATAAAATGACAAATGAACTACTAATCAATCAAATAATATAATGATAATTACACTCAACTGCCATTTTATAAGGTACACCTTAAAGTACCGGGTTGGACCTTTTTTGCCTTGAGAACAAGGAAATATTCCTCAGAGATTTGACATGAGAGCATCACACAGTTGCAAATTTGTCAGCTGCACATCCATAATGCCAATCTCCCGCTCCACCACATCCAAAAGCTGCTCTATTGGATTGAGCTCTGGTGACTGTGGAGGCCATTTGAGTACAGTAAACTCATTGTCATGTTCAAGAAACCAGTCTGAGATGATTCACGCTGTATGACATGGAGCGTTATCCAGCTGGAAGTAGCCATCAGAAGATGGAGACACTGTGCTCATAAAGGGATGGACATGGTCAGCAACAATACTCAGGTAGGCTGTGGCGTTGACACAATGCTCAATTGGTAATAATGAGCCCAAAGTGTGCCAAGAAAATCTCCCCCACGCCATTAAACCACCACCAGCAGCCTGAACCATTAATACAAGGCAGGATGATCCATGCTTTCATGTTGTTGAGACCAAATTCTGAGCCGAGCATCCGAATGTGTCAGCAGAAATGGAGACTCATCAGAGCAGGCAACGTTTCTCCAATCTTCTATTGTCCAGTTTTGGTGAGTCTGTGTGAATTGTAGCATCAGTTTCCTGTTCTTAGCTGACAGGAGCGGCACCCGGTGTGCTCTTCTGCTGCTGTAGCCCATCCGCCTCAAGGTTGGACGTGTTGTGTGTTCAGAGATGCTCTTCTGTAGAGCTCAAGTGCTTATTTGAGTTACTGTTGCCTTTCTATCAGCTGGAACCAGTCTGGCCATTCCCCTCTGACCTCTGGCATCAACAAGGCATTTGCGCCCACAGAACTGCCGCTCACTGGATATTTTTTCCTGACCATTTTCTGTAAACCCTAGAGATGGTTGTGCGTGAAAATTCCAGTAGATCAGCAGTTTCTGAAATACTGACTATGCCACGTTCAAAGTCACTTAAATCCCAGTTCTTCCCCATTCAGATGCTGTTTTTGAACTGCAGCAGATCGTCTTGACCATGTCTACATGCCTAAATGCATTAAGTTGCTGCCATGTGATTGACTGATTAGAAATTTGCATTAACGAGCAGTTGGCCAGGTGTACCTAATAAAGTGGCCGGCAAACGTATACAAATGACTGATGATTGCTGCTTTCTTGGTAATGTTTTATGTTGCATAAAAATTTGTAGTTTTTTGTTAAGGGAAGGTTCATATCAGTGCAATTTATGTGCTAAAAGTGTTACAAGTCTGATCACTGTATACTGGTTTTTAGATATATCTACTGGGTCCAAAAACAACCAAAATAGGGTCAGGGTAAAATAGTTTTCCCACCATTTCCAATAATAACTCCAATAATTGCTCATATTTACATGCATTTATTTACAAATTGTAATCATACTCTCAAAAGGCTCTTAACAAATCACATTTCATTCATCGTCCTTACTGTAACTTTCAAAACTCCTTATACCAAATCATTCTAAACAAATTGGTTTTAATGACAAACTTATTAACTTAATTAATTTCGTGATTTGAGAGATAATTGTCACACGCCTTTAAGACTTTGATATCTGATCTATAGAGCTGTCCTACTTGTTTTTGTCATCTAATTAAGTGTTTTCTTCTGGGTGTGTTTTAGATCCACAATGGTCCTCCACATGAGTCTAATTTCGGGTACGCCTACGCCAAACGCATGATTGATGTCCAGAACAGGTCAGCGGCAAAGATCCTTGCTCACCAATGTATCATATATCCGGATATACAGCTGAAGTCTGAATTATTAGTCCTCCTGTATATTATTTTACCCCAATGTCTGTTTAACCGAGAGCAGATTTCTTCAGCACATTTCTAATCATAATAGTTTTAATAACTCATCTCTAATAACTGATTTCTTTTATCTTTGCCATGATGACAGTAAATAATATTAGACTAGATATTTTTCAAGACACTTCTATACAGCTTAAAGTGACATTTAAAGGCTTAACTAGGTTAATTAGGGTAAAGTTAGGGTAATTAGGCAATTCATTGTATAACAGTGGTTTGTTCGGGAGGCTAAAACTAATATTGCTGAAGGGGGCTAATAATATTGACCTTAAAATGTGTTTAAAACAATTAAAAACTGCTTTTATTCTAGCTAAAATAAAATAAATAGGACTTTCTCCAGAAGAAACAATATTAGAGGAAATACTGTGGAAAAACTCCTGAATCTGTTCAACATCATTTGGGAAATACTTGAAAAAGTCACAGGAGGGTGAATCATTTTGACTTAGTGTTACATCCCGACCAGTCTAGGGTTAGTGGGAACAATAACAAGTGTAAAAAAAAAACAAAGAAATAAACTCAAATACTCAATTCAGGGTTTTCCCCTTCTCCTGTCCCAACTCACAATAATCACAACACTGATCAAGTAGCAACAATATTTATTATTTTTTTAGACAACAAAGATAGAAGCATCTCTTCAGAAGGGAATCCAGGCCAAAATAATAAACAAAAAAACAGCTAACTTGCGGGGAAATAATTCTAACTTACCTGCTCAAATAAAAGTACCCCAAATAAAATTACAGCACACTTCCCTTTCTCCCTTGCTGCCACAAACCAGGAGAAAACGTTTTAAAGTAAATGGCGATTCCCAACCTACCGCTTCTGTTTCTAACCAAAAATAATATATATAAATATTTAATCAGAAAAGCCAATAGGTTCAGATTTAACAAAGAGCCGTTTTAGAAAATAATTAAATTGTCAGTAACAGAAATCGATCAATTCACACCAAGTCAACCAACAATTTGGGGCAGGAGATAGGAGACGCTCGGAACAACAGCGGCGGCGACGACGGAGATTTGCGACCTGCACAGAGCAGAAAGATCTCCCCATTTTTCCTCTCCTCCAGCTTATATACGCTCCCACACGCAACACGGCTGGACCGCAATCAAGCGCAGCTCTAGGGGGAGAGAGAGAGAGAAAGAAAGCTGCTCATGCTCCACAGCGCACAACACAACATCAGCTCCAAATGCATAAACAAAACACAAATCTGTATATATATAATATTTATATATATAAAATAAACAAACTAATAATTAATACGTTCTATAACGTAACACTTAGATAATCTTACAGGCGCAGTTCAACAAATCAACATTCATAGTAGGACCGAATAATATTATGGCTGCTTTTTTTTTCTGCAGCATTCTTCAGTGTTTTATCCTTTGTGTTAGAAAGAAGCTCAAGCAGGTTTGGATTTAGTAAATGTGGGGAGTCAACGGATCGTTCCAGAACCGAACAAGCCACAGACCATGTTATCCTTAAAAGATTGGTTGGTGCCTACGAGTCTGAGATTGATTTCATTTTCAAAGCAATCCACAGGCACCCAGCAAAAGGCAAATCCACAGGATAACTAGCCAGTCAACATCACAGTTGCGTGTTAATTAACTTTACACCTTAAAACAATAAGAGGCTCTACAATCAAAAACCCACCAAACCGGTTTTTGAGAAGTACCTTTTGGTTTGCGTGCCCTTTGGCGTCTGCAAGGAATACACATTCTCAGGCAGACACAGAAGCGATCAGAAACGCTTCCTGAATTGAATGGACATTTAAGTAAAACAGTTTATTTGAGTAATGTACGTTTGCTTTATGTTTCTGTAGGTTTTTGTGTGAACATGTTCCATGTGTTTAACAAAACTGTTATGGATAGTTATTGAGTAATAGCCCTCAGTGACAAATGAAATCTACAGAATGTTTGTGAAATACTTCATGTTTGGTATCGATTGAAAGCTAGGAACATTTCAAATGCATTGGTTTATATGAAGAAACCATACTATGAAAAGTGTCGATGTTATAAGACTTTATTTTAACCACTATGCTATCAAAGCAGCACCCACACCAGGTGTCAACCCGGCCTCCTAGAGGGCAGAATTGGGGTGTGACTCCACCCCACACCTTATCTGATTGGACAAGCATTGTGTAGACCCAGCCTCTACCAAAGCCTATAAAACTTTGAACAAAGGAATTTCATCGTCGTCTTTTGCCGGTCATCTTTGCCAGTCGTCACCGCCGTTGCTGCCCGGACGTCGCTCTTCTCGTGCTGTGGCCGTTACATCGCCTCGCCGGAAGCCTCGTTACATCACGGAGCAGACCGCGACCTTCACTTGCTGCCGGCTCGACCCCCGATCTGCTTGTGCAACCGCTTCAACAACAAGCCATCGGGTCAACACATCCAAATTCTGAAACTCATCATAACTACAGGAACCCAGGAAGGACTTCGAACGCCGCTTTGTCCAACATCCGTATCCCTAGCAACCGACTAAGGAAACCCCTCTTCACCGACAAGGGAATTCCATCACGTCACTGAAGTTGCTACGCTGACCAATCAGCTTCGCCGGGATTTCCCTTTGGACCAGTCGAGGAAACCAAAAATTACATCAGAACGCAAGTAGCACAAACAAGGTTTCTACCCATTACTGAATCTGGTGTGAATTATGTTTAAGTAGTAAAGAATAGCAAATTTCTCTGCTTTTATGGTTTCTCTCAGGTTGCAATGCTAAGAACTTAGCAAAGGCTAGAAGTTGAATCCACTCAGTCAAAACTCTCCTCAAACTGCTTGTGCGTGTGTGTATGTATGTGCATTTGTTTGTTTTACGTAGATTAGTACTTTGTGTTATAGAGTAGCAATAAACTTTTGTTTCGTTTTAAGATCCGTGTTGGTGTGTTGTGTGCTTTATAAGTTAATGCCTCAGCTTCAGATACTGCTACCTTGCTTAATAAATAATTAGATACTGTTTTTATATTGTTATTGTTGGCCACGTAATAATATAATACAGAATTGCTTTACACTAAACGTTCTATTTGCTGGTCAAATACTTAAGTTAAGTGTAAGCTTTAAATAATTCTATGTGAATCATGTTCGAATCTTTGATTCGAATCCCCAAAGTTTAAACATGATTTAAACCAAAGAGCTGATTCTTACATAAAAGACGAGGAAATGATGGCAGCATTTATATTTTTGTGTGAACGGTTCTTTTAACACTTGAACTACTTTAATTTAGTTACTACTAGAATTACCATAGTGGTCTGTCTGGCCTTTCTTGTGTACAGTTGAAGTCAGAATTATTCACCCTCCTTTGCATTTTATTTTTTTTTTTTCTGATGATGTTGAACAGATTCAGGAATTTTTCACAGTATTTCCTTTAATATTTTTTTTCTTCTGGAGAAAGTCTTATTTGTTTTATTTTGCCTAAAATAAAAGCAGTTTTTAATAGTTTCAAACACATTTTAAGGTCAATATTATTAGCCCCCTTTAGCAATATTAGTTTTGGATTGTCTCCGGAACAAACCACTGTTATACAATGACTTGCCTAATTACCCTAACTTTACCCTAATTACCCTAGTTAAGCCTTTAAATGTCACTTTGAGCTGAATACTAGTGTCTTCTCATCTAATATTATTCACTGTCATCATGGCAAAGATAAAATAAATCAGTTATTAGAGATGAGTTATTAAAACTATTATGTTTAGAAATGTGTTGAGAAATCTGCTCTCTGTTAAACAGACATTGGGGAAAATATACTAGTGAATTTGAGAGTGAGAAAGATATTCATCAGATAATATTTAATTGTAGGTTAAATGTATAATGTTTTAAATGTAATAATTGACTCGGCATTTGGGTTTGTCCACCATCAGGGCGTTTTTTCAGCAGTTTAATCGGCGATACACGGCCGTCATCCCCACCAACGTGTTTGGATGCCATGATAACTTCAACATTGAGGACGGTCACGTGCTGCCGGGCCTGATCCACAAGACGTACATCGCAAAAAGTGAGACTCATTTAAAGCACACACACTTTCTGAAGGGTAAAGTAGAGTTAGAGTACACATGAAATATTTTATTTATTTGTGTGTGTGTGTGTGTGTGTGTGTGTTTGTGTGTGTGTGTGTAGAGGAAGGTAAACCTCTGGTGGTCTGGGGTTCAGGTCGCCCCCTGCGGCAGTTCATCTATTCTCTGGATCTGGCTCGTCTGTTTGTGTGGGTTCTGCGAGAGTATGATGAGGTGGAGCCCATCATCCTATCCGGTAACCAGTTCTTCTTTACATTTTTTTTTAATCAATTTTGATCTGATTTATGGTGATATAGAGTCTGAAATGATGTAAATTACACCCTCTAGTGGACAGGAACCGGCTGCACCATCAGCATGACTTGAAAGGAGTCACAATTTACACACTAGTAAATATTTTACACCACTAAAGTTAGTTTAAACATAATGCTACGCTCTAACTAAATATTTACAGCAGCATCCCCCCATGTGAAGAGCTCAGATGCAAAAAAACTGGATTTTTCTTCTACAATGAGCATTTTTGCCTTTTATGTTCAGTTATTTTATGGTAAAAGCAATGAAAATATTCTACTTTTTGCCATAAAAGAAAAATTACAGAACCAAGACAAATGAACCTGAGAAAAATTGTAATATTAAAATTGACTGACTAATGTAATGTACTAAAAAAATACCAAAAAGTACCATTTATTGCCATACTACTGAAAGCAGCAGCAGATAGTTCAGCTCAGATCTGGACAATAAAATAAACCGTCTGAAACTGAACTCCAGAACTGAGACTCAGTGCAAACCAACACATACAGTATCAGTGATCCAGCATCTATATTTAATCATGTTAAAGAGCTTTAATATGTATTCATTAGATTATAAACATTAGCATTTGGCTGGAGTGCAGTGAGTGCACTATTCTGTGCTTCTGATTGGCTGTATTTACATTTCTGTCCTGTTTCGTCTGGTGCAAACAGCCTGATTACTCATCACTGCAAATCTCATCATGTGTTGTTAGGACATGGGGTTACAATGTCACCTGCTCACCTAATGTTTACGCTCCTAATATTTATATTATTTGCTAATTAATAACCTCATGGGGAACTCTGAATCTGCGTCTCATTTCGGAGTCTGCAACTGTCCACCAGAGGTCGCATTTCAGTCACAGATGCATGCTCTGAGAATCTTCCTGACTGACTGAATGAAATACGCTGTTTTCCACCAAGGCAACCCGGATGCTGAAATATAATTGGCTACACTGGAAGTGGGTGGGTTAAATGACCAAAACAAAGACAGCCATTCCGGCATGTAACGCACATCCTCAAAGCAGAATATCTGACGTCAGCATTGTTTTTCAGATAAACAAGAACGTTCACTTAGGATGTTTCTGAAATATCTGCAAACATATGATGGTGTTTTTGTGCTTTAGAAGAGTCAAAGTTATAAACTAGCTAGTAGTTACTAAGCCCCTAGTGTGGACTTCACCTTCCAGTTTAAGAAAGGACTTACGAACAGTCGCTGCAACCCTATCCTGGAGTATAGAAAGAGCTAAATAAGTTAGTTTTGTTTACATTCAAATAAAAATTTTCGAATGTATTTTTCTCATACAGAGTCATCGACAGTGTCATATGCAGTGAAATGAATACATAAATAAAGACAAATTAGACAACCCTGCTGTGATCAGAGACTAAGACACATTTCTGTCCAGTACTGCGTGTTTCTTGTCATTTTGTAATTAATTTGTTCAGATTTATGGTGATAAAGAGTCTAAAAATGTAATTCAATTCACCTTTATTTGTATAGCACTTTTACAATGTAGATTGTGTCAAAGCAGCTTCACATAGAAGTTTATAGTAAATTGAATCAGTGTAGTTCAGTTTTCAGCTGCTCAGGATACGGCCTGGTCCAGGATTATGGAAACCTTGGGATCATCTCATCAGTGGTCTTGTATCGGAAAAGTGGCGCTGCATAGTCTGAGGGTCTCGGGATGAGTATCCCCAGCTGAAAATAGAGAATAAAGAGAATAATTAGCGTAGCTGCTGTTCATAGTGTATATAAACGAGATGCAGAAACCTGCATGGAGCACATTCATGCATCATACTGCTAAGTGATGCACTGAGTGTATGCTTTACTAAACAAATAGGTCTTTAATCTAGTGTTGAACTGCGAGAGTGTGTCTGAGCCTCGGACATTATCAGGTAGGCTATTCCAGAGTTTGGGAGCCATAAACGAGAAGGCTAGACCTTCTTTAGTAGACTTTGCTATTGTAGGTACTACCAGAAGCCCTGAGTTTTGAGATCTTAAAGAGCGAGTTGGATTGTAGTGAGACAGAAGGTTGGTTAGATAAACAAGAGCTAGATTATTTAGAGCTTTATATGTAAGAAGCAATATTTAAATTCAATATGAAACTTAACAGGCAGCCAGTGTAAGGAGGATAACATTGGGGTGATATGATCATATTTTCTAGACCTGGTCAGAACTCTGGCTGCTGCATTTTGTACTAATTGAAGTTTGTTAATAGAGGATGCTGGGCAGCCAGCAAACAGAGCATTACAGTAATCCAGTCTCGAAGTCATAAAAGCATGGACTAGCTTTTCTGCATCAGAGATGGATAGCATACTTCATAACTTAGCAATATTTCTCAGATGAAAGAAGGCAGTTTTTGTGACATGGGATATATGATTTTCAAAAGTTAAATTGCTGTCTAATGACACCCAGATCTTTTATTGTTTGTTTTATACATAGATAAAGACATCAACATAAATAAGATAAAACTACGACTTTAGAATTACAAGTTTCACTGCTGGGATTTGGGTCAAAGACACATTTCTGTCCAATTCGAAATTTTTCTTTTCATTGTATTATTAATATTGATCAAATTTATGGTAATAAAGACTCTGAAATGGTGTATTTTCTGCCCCCTAGTGGACTGGAGTATGTAAATAATAATAAAAAAAAACATTCTGCAGAAACACTTTGACATTCTCCCTTTGTACTGTCATCAGAGGAGGCAAGCCCCACAGTGATCAACTCTCCCTCATTAGCATAAACAGACCTGAGTGCAAAGCAGTCGTATTCATTCAGTAAATTTCAATTTATTTGCATTTATCTTGCTTTGCATGAATGTGAATGTGTGGGTCAGCCATAGTTAAGAAACAGAATTTGAGATGCTGTATTCATTTGTTAGTTTTGACCTCCTCATGTTTCTATGTAGTTGGTGAGGAGGATGAGTTGTCCATAAAGGATGCTGCGGACGCTGTGGTTGAAGCACTGGAGTTTACAGGTGACGTGATCGTATCCTTTATTACACAAACAAACAATCCACTTCTTGAATCTAGGAGGTTTTGTTATTTATTATAATAAAAAAACTTTCTTGCGGCACGGTTGCTCAGTGGTTAGCACTGTGGCCTCACAGCAAGAAGGTCGCTGGTTCGAGTCCCGGCTGGGTCAGTTGGCATTTCTGTGTGGAGTTTGCATGTTCTCCTTGTGTTGGCGTGGGTTTCCTCCGGGTGCTCCGGTTTCCCCAACAGTCCAAACACATGCGCTATGGGGGAATTGATGAACTAAATTGACTGTAATGTATGAGTGTGTGAATGTGAGGGTGTATGGAGGGGTACTAATTTTACAGATATAATTTCACAGAAATATAGTTATATGGATGGTTGGATTTTTCAGATTTTTTTCAAGATGCTGAGCTTCAAATACAAACAGATGGATGAATAAATGGATGGATGGATACATGGATGGATAGATAGATAGATAGATAGATAGACAGACAGACAGACAGACAGACTTACGGATGGATGGATGGATGGATGGATGGATGGATGGATGGATGGATGGATGGATGGATGGATGGATGGATGGAATCATGTATGTAGTTTTAGTGTAAACTAACCCTCAAAACACAGACCTTAACTTTTACTTCTCTCAGTATGACACCAGTAAAGCAGACGGACAGTTCAAGAAAACCGCCAGTAACGCCAAACTGCGCAAATACCTGCCAGACTTCAAGTTTACTCCATTCAGAGAAGGTGATCACTCACACGCACTCATGATTTTTTTTTTCATGATTAACAAGAACCAGTATGTACCATTTCATTGTACAACAAAATCACTTCACATTACTTAAAAAGATGGATTAAATGAGAAAAACAAACAATTAAATAAAAGAAAATAATAATAAAAAAGAGGAAAGGGTAAACAATTATCACATTACACACAAATGTACATATATTTTTTCAAATTTGGTTAACAAAAGTTATTCAATGCACTTTCACTACAGAAAATCCAAATGTTTAATGCAAAAATGTTAAAAGAGGAGCACGTATTAACCGTTTTAATTGCTTTTTCTATTTTTACACTATTTTAAATTCACTTTTATAAAGATTTTATATTAATTTACATATCTTTTTCTTGCATCATGATGTATGGAAGCCCGTTCTTGCCACTGATTGCCACTGACTTTTATAAAGTCGCAAATCGGAGTTATAAAGTCGCAATTCTGAGTTATAAATTCGCAATTCCGAGTTATTAAGTCGCAGTTCAGAGTTTTAAAGTCGCAATTCCGAGTTATTAAGTCGCGAGTTGTAAAGTCGCAAATCTGAGTTATAAAGTCGCAATTCCGAGTTATAAAGTCGCAATTCCGAGTTGTTAAGTCGCAATTCCGAGTTGTTAAGTCGCAATTCCGAGTTAAGTCGCAATTCCGAGTTAAGTCGCAATTCCGAGTTATAAAGTCGCAATTCTGAGTTATAAATTCGCAATTCCGAGTTATTAAGTCGCAGTTCAGAGTTTTAAAGTCGCAATTCCGAGTTATTAAGTCGCGAGTTGTAAAGTCGCAAATCTGAGTTATAAAGTCGCAATTCCGAGTTATAAAGTCGCAATTCCGAGTTGTTAAGTCGCAATTCCGAGTTAAGTCGCAATTCCGAGTTATAAAGTCGCAATTCTGAGTTAAGTCGCAATTCGGAGTTATAAAGTCGCAATTCCGAGTTATAAAGTCGCAATTCCGAGTTATAAAGTTGCAATTCCGAGTTGTTAAGTCGCAAGTCTGAGTTAAGTCGCAATTCGGAGTTATAAAGTAGCAATTCCGAGTTATAAAGTCGCAATTCCGAGTTATAAAGTCGCAAGTTGTAAAGTCGCAATTCCGAGTGAAGTCAGAATTGCGAGTTATCAAATCAGAATTCTATACATATATATGTAATTTACATAATAAAAGAAAAATGTTTATATTAAAACCAGCATCTTTGAAAGAGAGATCCTTAACATAATATCCCAAAATCACATGTTTATAAGATAAGGAAAATATTATGAGTAACTAAAGCTTCCACATTAATCCAGAAATGTTGAGTATATTGGAAAGACTGCAATAAATGTCAAATTGTTTCTTTGAAGCATTCAGCATTTTATAAATTTTAAATAGTTGAAATATTACTGTAGGATAAACTCTATGAATTAATCTAAACTGATCACGATTTCCAATGTTTACAGTAAAGTTTTTCTTCTTTCCAGCCATCAAGGAGACGTGCGATTGGTTTGTGGCCAATTATGACACCGCCCGTAAATGAAGATCCTCACTTCTCATTGGAGAGTTTGAACACTGTTTAATGCTGGAAACCAAACAGGACAGACACTTTTAACATCTATTTTATTATTATTATTTTTTTAACAGAATCATTTAGCACTGTGTTTATTTAACGTTTTTCACACAAGCGTTTCCATTTGCAAAAACTACAACATGCTCTATTGCACATTGCCTGATCTGACTGCGCCATCTAGTGGACATCATCAGCGATTGGTGCATTTTAAAACATGAAGAAATACTATAGTGATTTATAGTAAATACTGTTTTTGGACCATAGCTATAGTAGTCTGTTATAGGGTAAATATTAAAGTATTTACAACTTTTTGTCACGAATGCTACAGAATACTGTAGTATTACCTAGTGATAAACTCTACTAAATGTACTATAAAAACTGTACTAAGTACTGTTGTATAGTTTGGTTTTTACTAGAGTAAACTATATAGATGTGACTTCTGGTTTTGGCTAAATTGTTTACATTTCTATAGTTGTTGTATTACCACAGCAAATATAGAAATGTCACAACACTCATTCATTTTCTTTTCAGCTTAGTCCCTTTATTAATCTGGGAAATGAACCACCAACTTATCCAGCATTTGTTTAACACAGCGGCTGCCCTTCCAGTCGCAACCCATCACTGGGAAACATCCATACACACTCATTCACACACATAATTTAGCTTACCCAATTCCCCTATAGCGCATGTGTTTGGACTTGTGGGGGAAACTGGAGCACCCAGAGGAAACCCACGCCAACACGGGGAGAACATGCTATGAAGGATATTACTTTTTTTTTTTTTAATGAAGGATTTTTAGGGTGAATTCAGGTCACTTTTTTCCATTGAGATGACCAAGGAAGTGTTTCCTAATTTACCTGGATTCACCCTTTGGTTGATTTTAATTTAATTTAAGACTTTTGTTTGTGTAACAAAATGCTTGATTATATTCTAACGCCCAAAACTAGAACTAATTAATAAAGCACCTTTGTAATTACCACCATAGTCGAGTGTATATAGTGAAAACATTTGCAACTGGGGAATGTCTCTCCTTTCTACTTTCTTTTTTAGAGCGTCTTTAGTTGCATTTACACGGTTTTGACAGCAGATGTCGCCAGTCTGTGTGGGTTTTGGTTTTGAAAGCCACTATAGACTGTTAAACATGCTATTATTTGCAAATACTATGCAAATATATACTGTGTTAGTAAATGGAAGGCTATTGATGAAATCCAGACAATGTTTCAGATGACTGTTATATAGCCTACAGCACAGGTGTCAAACTCAGTTCCTAAAGGGCCGCAGCTCTGCACAGTTTAGTTCCAACCCTAATTAAACACACCTGATCAAACTAATTGAGTCCTTCAGGCTTGTTTGAAACCTACAGGTAAGTGTGTTGGAGCAGGGTTAGAACTAAACTGTGCAGGGCTTCGGCCCTCCAGGAATTGAGTTTGACACCCCTGGCCTACAGCTAAACGATCATATTTTGGGGTGCTTTCAATTTATAAATATAATGATAAATAGTAAATAGACTATTTCAACTAAAATAAATACGTTTCTAAATGAAATTATATATGAATATGGGAAATGGAGTTGAATTTGAATGGTCTGTGAGCACAATTAAGTCAACAGCATGCCATATTATTTGATAACTGTATGAAATAATCCCAAAAAAGCAACATGCTGGGTAAAGCCACATAAAACTCAAGCATGAATATGATATATGCAGAGTTCAACGTCTGGAATCAACTGGGGTGAATTCAATGCGAGTAGCAGATACCGTGAATAAAGTGCCCATGCCCTTAATTATGCGTAATATTAAGAGTTCTTATAAAAAATAAACTAAGTTATTAAAAAATTCACCCCTCACAGTTGGCATGAAAGTTTACATTAGCTATATACTGTACACCAAAACCATTGTTGTACCAGGCTGTAAACACCTTTATTTCTGCTGTAAAGTTGGCCATTTTAACATGGTAGTCTATGGGGATTTATTAGTTTCTGGATCCAGCCCCCTAGCGGCCAGTCGATGAACTGCAGTTTCAGTTACTTCTGTATCGGTTTCCTGGGAGGTTGCCTTTAAAGCTACATTTCACTTTGTGACATCACGTTTAGGGGTGCGAAAATGTTAAATGCCTCGGGAATAACCAGTCTGACCGGTCTTGCCGCTCGTGTGCTGTGTTACTATTTTTTTTTCTCTTTTAAAAATTCCATCTGTTTTATATGAAAATGAATATGATGCAAAAAGACGCTATAATTTTATTCATTAGTGTTTTTTTTACATTCACAAGAAGACACCAAAAAGTAGGTTCATGTTTTTATTTTGTTGTTGTTAGATTATTATATTTTATTTGTGTATTTTTAACATTTTGCCGGTACATTTGCCTGCTCTGTTGATAATCATTGTATGTTCTGACTTTATTTTGTGCTAAATAATTGAACAATACACTCATCTTCAACATTATTATTTTGCTGTGTGAAGGTTTTTTATTATTTATTACTTAGTTCAGCGGCTAGAATCAGCTCAGTTGACTTCATGGTGCCCTGTCAAGCAAGTAGACACGCTCTTAATTATGCAGAATATTAAAGCTTAATATAAATTTAAAAGATGAATTATTAAAACATTAACCCGTTCACAGTTGTCATGAAGTGTAATATTAGCTGTATACAGCAAAACCATTTGTTGTACCAAACTGTAAGCACCTTTTTGTCTGCTGTAAATTTGGCCATTTTAACATGGCAGACTATGAGGATTTGTTAGTTTCTGGCGCCAGCCCCTAGGGGCCAGTCGATGAACTGCAGTTTCAATTCCTAGGAGGTTGCCTTAAAAGCTACATTCCCATGTTACGTCACGTTTAGAGGCGGGAAAATGTTAAACGCCTATTTAATAACCAGTCTGACCTTTGCTACTCAATTTTTTATGTTATGTTTATGTATGAAAATTAATGTCATGAAAGAAACACTATAATTGTATTTATTAGCGTTTTTTTCTGTTTAATGAGGCATCAAAAAATACAGGGGTTCATATGTTTGTTTTTTTTTGTTTTTTTGTTTTTTGGGGGGGGGATTATTACATTTTATTTGTCTATTTTTTACATTTTTCCGGTACATTTGCCTGCTCTGTTGATAATCATTATATGTTCTGACTTTATTTTCTGCTAAATAATTGATTAATACACTCATCTTCAATATTATTATTTTGCTGTGTGAAGGTTTTTAATTATTTATTACTTAGTTCAGCGGCTGGTATCAGCTCAGTTGAATTCAATGCGAGTAGCAGATACCTGTCAATCAAGCAGCCACGGCCTTAATTATGCATTATATTAAAGGTTTTTACAAATTAAACTAATGAGTTATTAAATATTCACCCCCTCACAGTTGTCATGAAAGTTAATATTAGCTATATACACCAAAACCATTGTTGTACCAGGCTGTAAACACCTTTATTTCTGCTGTAAAGTTTGGCATTTTAACATGGCAGTCTATGAGGATTTGTTAGAGTCTGGATCCAGCCCCCTAGCGGTCAGTCGATGAACTGCAGTTTCAGTTATTTCTGTATTGGTTTCCTACATTGGAGCTACATTTCGCTTTGTGACGTCACGTTTAGAGGCGAGAAAAGGTTTAATCTCTCGGGAATAACCAGTATAACTGGTCTTACCGCTCACCTGCTGTGTTACTAAATTTGTTTGTGTTATAAAAATTCCATCTGTGTTATATGAAAACTAAAGTCTTGAAAGAAACACTATAATTTTATTTATTCGTGTTTTTCAATTTAATGAGACATCAAAACTAGACAAGCGTTAATATTTTTTTATTTTGTCATTAAATTACTTTATTTGTGTATTTTTAACATTTTTCTGGTACAATTGCCCGGACCGTTAATAATCATTGTATGTTCTGACTTTATTTTCTGGTAAATAATTGAATACTGCACGCATCTTCAACATAATTATTGTTGTTTTTTTATATTGCTGTGTGAAGTTTTTTTTTTTACTATTATTTATTTAAATTTTCAGCTGTTTTCCAAACCGGTTTGTTTTTCATTTCCAAATATGTCTTGAAAATCAGCGATTGTTAGATATTTTTAATTTTCAGTATTAGATGGTTTAACCTGTGGGTTAATTTCAGAATTGTTTGTTAGTGTTTTCTTTAGGAGATCATGATTGATTGTAAATACATGATTGTATTTATAGCTTATTTCTTAATAAAATCCTCCTAGGATGATCTGACTTTAATACAGTTTTATTTTATTTTTTGTGACATGAAATATTTCCCGGATGTTTCGTCCTGAAGTCTGATTGCATATGCAAATATATGCAAATGCAGTCTGGCTACATACGTTCTTGTGTGTGTGTGCGCGCGCGCGTGTGTAAGTGTGTGTGTGTGTACACATAGGGCACTGTGAGTTGTGGGCATATATTCCTGAGGGAAAAGTTTCTCTCATTCACTTCGACGGGACTCAGTGATGGAGAAACAGCAAGCAGGACAGCAGCAGGTAAACTCAGTTGTTTGATCAAATATTTGCATAAACGCTTTCAATCAGAAATAAGTGAGATGCTGTACGGATTACGCGGTCTGAATTTGTTAAAGGCGACGATATCATCATTTTTGTATGAAATTTGCTTTAATTTGAGTTAATAAGATATATTAAACACCTGTTAAAGTCTTTTTAAAAAGTAATTGGTGACCAAATGATTCATGAGGATGATTTTTTCCTAATTTCCCGTGTTTAACTCTTGCTGAACTCTACCTTGATATGTCATAAATTAACGTATGTGTTCTCGGGTTAGGCTTTGCTAGGTGTGTCAGCTAGTCAAACTTGCTTTACCGGTTTAAAGTTAGTCTAACGTTAAGTCATTGTGGCTGCAGGGAGAAAGAGAAACAAGAGCTTATTTTGCTGTAATCATATATATATACTACTAAAAGTATAGAAAAGAAAATACTGTTGCTGTTGCTTTAAGTAACGTCAGCCTAATGTAAAGATAACCATGGTTATGATCGCCATGATACGCGTCCACGGTAAACACGTTGTCATGGTGTCTCCCCATGGGGGATGAAAACATATAGTGCTACAACTCCATCATCATTAAACATACTCCAGAAAAATGTATACAGATAAAATCCCTGCTTTAAAATATGTCATATTAATTTAATATTCTGTGTTGGAGCCGTTGAAACTGGTCTATCAGGTAAAGATGGCTCAAGATGACTTACAGTGGCCTGTATTTACATTAGGGCTAGGCGATACAGCAACAAAAATAGCCAGATAACATTTTTACATATCATTGGGTATCAATAATTCTTAAATATTTTCTGAAATCCATTTGGAAATGTTATTTTTTTTGTTTTGTTTTGTTTATTTAACCACTTTATTTTAATTTACCAACATTACTAAGGCAAATAGTTTAAATAGTCAAAAGCAAAAATATTTAAACAAAATATCTCATCTCTTCATAATAAAAATAAACATGAGAGTCTCTTAACGATAAATTAAATGTTACAAAGTGTGTGCAATGGTAAAGTGTGAACGTTGGACAATCACTTGTCATTGCTTTTGTTGGGACATCAAGAAAAGCAGGTGATGCCTCAAAGTTTGATTCACTATAAATCTTGAATGGTTTTAAAAATCTTTATAATCATTAAAATAAGTGATAAAAATAATTAGTTTAAAAATCTTGAGCGATATTAATGATATAACATAGATCCAGAAACTTCTCTGTTTGTCCGTCTGACTTTACGGTGGGTTTCTTTTGACCGCCCCTGTCATTTTAAAGCAGTGGTTCTCAAACTGTGGTACAACTGTGGGCTTCCTTCTAGTGGTACGCGGAGGAATCAAATATGTCATGTGCACATGCTACATATGTTTCAAAATTTATCAAAAATGATTAATAAATAAATATATGATGACATATCGGCTATATTTCCGAAATCCAGGCAACATTTTCAGGTGTTGTTGAGTTGGCTACTATATGTTAATACTTTACATTGAAGTACAGGATTTTTTATTTTTTAAGAACAGTATCCTACTATTTTTAACTTTTAAAGAACATTTTTATTTAAATGTTGATGTTTTTTAGTGTTTTTATATACAAATAAACAGTACAGTGTTAATGTTCAGACTATTTATAATGTTTAAAGTGACTGACAATAATAAATATTCTTAATAGTAGGAATTAATCTGCCACATTTTTGAACTGTGCACGCAGTCAGCGTAGATCTGCGATGTGGCGTCAGACGAAAATATAAATTAGGTTTAAGAGCACATAAAAAGTGCGTGACGCGGGGTTGAGAATGTTTTCAACTAGTTGCGCCTGAAAATTTTGAGCCACCATGTTTGCTTTTTAATTTTTATTTAATCGTTATTGACTATGGTTTTCCATCAATAAAAACTTCCATTTCATTTCACAAACTTGTAAAACTAACCCGAGATCAGGTAAACACTATGGAACTTGTTCAGTGATTCACCACTGGGGGCAAACTGAATGAGTTTGTTTGATTCATGTTGATTTTTATAGTATTACACAGATCGCCCTCTAGTGGAGAAACAGAATAATTGTAACGTGAAACGGTAATGACGTAACAAAGCCTTGTTTACTGAAGTTATGTGACCATGCCTGTTTGATACATGAACCACTGATTCAAAACAAAAGCTCGATTGAAAATAACCTTTTTGGCTTTTCTTCCAAGGCATTTTAATAAATCTATAGCACTTTGTGTGAAACTTTTCTTTTATTGTGATTGACAATGGTGTTCGGTCAATAATTAACAATGCCGTTATTGTCGGAGCCCTAATTTACATTTAACAAGCTACATTTACATTTAGTCATAGATACAACACAAACGATGTTAGCTTAAAACAGTATTTTGTAATATAACTTCTATTTTTGGGGCGAAGCAGTGGCGCAGTAGGTGGTGCTGTCGCCTCACAGCAAGAACGTCGCTGGTTCGAGCCTCGGCTCAGTTGGCATTTCTGTGTGGAGTTTGCATGTTCTCCCTGCGTTCGCGTGGGTTTCCTCCGGATGCTTCGGTTTCCCCCACAGTCCAAAGGTACAAGTGAATTAATCAAGTGATCTTTTTCAGTCGAAATCACACGGTGGTTTGTTTATTTCAGTACTTTTAATTAACGAATATAAAAGTTAACAAAGTATTGCCAACACTTTAATATTTTGTTTATAGTTATTACTTACATGAACAATAAATTTTTAAAGTGTTTATTCATTTTTGTTAACAAAATTAAAGAAAATACATGGTCAATCATGAATCAAGCCATTCTAGCTAACTCCCAGTGCATTATCTAATGTTAACAAGCACTTTTTGGATGTTAATAATGCATTAGTTAACTATAAACTATGATTATTCATGAATGTTGGTTAATGTATATTCACGGCAAAATCAACAGTGTTAATTCAACTCTGAGAGAGTTAATTTTAACACTTTACCGGTGTATATATAATCCACACCGGCCAGAGTTAAAGTAACATTTTCAAAAGTGTTAACAATTTCACACTGGCTCAGGAGTTGTGTGTTTTTTGCTTGCTTTATCAGTAATTATTCATATACTTTATTAAAATGTAATACATACTATGCTAGTCATGCATTATAAAACATTTCAACTTAATTATTGTTGGTTCAATAAACCAATACAAAACAACAGTGTTTCACATTTCATTTTTATTGAAAAACTAAATTCCAGGCATGTTGATATGTAAAAACTTTTAAAGTGTTAGCCCTTGTAGTCATACAGAAATGTTTTGTTTTTAATAAGTAGTTTAAACCCTGCCTAAAACAGCATAAAAGCATAGATATCTAACATAAACAATAATGAACGATACATTTATTAAAGAATTTATTCATCTTTGTTAACAAAGTTATAGAAAATACATGGTCATTTATGAATACAATGTTGTGTACTGAAAAGTCATTAGCCCCTTTCACACAGTGATACCGGTAAATTTCTGGAAAATTTCCGGAACGACTTTACCGGTATATTGAAAAAAGCGCTGTTCACACAGGCGAGGACGTTACGGAAATTTTCCGGAAAAGAGCATTCACACATCCATTCCAAAATACAGATAAATTCTGACATCATTCACCACAAATGAGCTTTAAACGGCTGCGCTTGTGTTTGTAAACATTTGACTAAATTACAAACTCTGTGGATGATCAATATTGTGAACAACTTTCGCAGGATCACTTTCTCATGTCGAGATGTTCATAATATGTGCGTGTGCAGGCGCTCACAGGCGCACGCAAAGCTTGAAGGTAAACAAACAACGGCTTATCATAACAGGGTCCCCGCGGGTCCTTAAAAAGTCTTAAAATGTCTTAAATAAAATTTTCGATTTTTAAGGTCTGAAAATGTCTTAAATTCTGTAATTTTCCATAAGGAGGTCTTAAATTTCATGTGGGATCTTAAATATCATGTCCGACTCGTCTTATGGCGGCAAATCAATGCCAATATAAATCGAGCGCAGCGGTGATGTTTGCGCGCGAGGAGAAGTGAACCGTGAGCAGATTACAGGTCTACACGCGAGAAAACTACAGCTCGCGAGCGCACAGGGGATCTTCACGCGCGCGCTCAACTGATCCAGCGCGAGAAAACAAGTCCCGCGCGTGCACATTATCATCTGTGCGCACGATGTACGCTCTCGCGAGCGAGGTCATGCCTACAGCGCGCGCGCGATCAGTTCTCTCCGCTCGCTCGCTGGTTCTTCTCTCTGCTCGCGCGAAACAGTTTAGATTTTTGTGAGTCCTAGGCGGGACTTGGTTTTCTTGTTATCTCTAACGCTATTGGCTACTCTACCTTTCCAGAAGTTAGCCGGGATTGGACGCAGGTAAGCTAGTTTCCCCGTTAAATAAAATTATATAGGAAATCTTATCATAATGTCACAGTGTGAAACATAGACTTACTTTCTCAGTAATAATAGGTGACGACTTACTTTCAATAATGAGATATTTCTTGTAATAATTAATCTCATAATAATGCCTATTCTTACCATCATGACCAAGTCATATAATGACATATCAAAATAATGAGATATATTTCTGTAACAAACTTTATTACTTGGGAGAGAAAGAGAGAGTTATACCATGTGGCAAAAGATCTCTCCATTAAACAGAAATTGGGGAAAATATACATGGGCTATTAAATCAGGACGAATAATTCAGACTTTAAATGTGTTTTGAACCATTTGATGAAGTTTAGCACCTACATTTAAACTGAACTCAAACTAAACGTGTTCAAATTTACAAAAATCTTTTTTTTTCTAAGATTCATTGTCCTTGACTCATTTTCTGTGAAGAACAAGTCAGAATAAATTGGATGGACAATAGTATACAAAATAGGCTATACATGCATGCAGTGCATAAAGTACAAAGGTTTATAGTAAATATATTGCCATTAGTCTGTTATTCCACTATACAGTTAAAGTCAGAATTATTAGCCCGCCTGAGTTAATAGCCCCCTGTTTATTTTTATCCTAATTTTTATTTAACGGAGAGAAGATTTTTTTCAACACATTTCTAACCATTATAGTTTTAATAACTCATTTCTAATAACTGATTTATTTTATCTTTGCCATGATGACAGTAAATAATATTAGACTAGATATTCTTCAAGACACTTCTATACAGCTTAAAGTGACATTTAAAGGCTTCACTTGGTTAACTAGGCAGGGTAATTGGGCAAGTTATTGTATAACGATAGTTTGTTCTGTAGACTTTCGAAAAAAATAAATAGGTTAAAGAGGGTAATAATATGGACCTTAAAATGGGTTTTAAAAAATTAAAACAGCTTTTATTCTTGCCGAAATAAAACAAGAAAAAAGTGGGCTACTAATTTTGACTTCAACTGCATATGTGACCTTTAAGATGTGGGCCTGTCGTATAGAAAGTAGTATTTATATGCCTCTGAAGTGGAATGATGTAATGGATAGTGAGTAAAGCCAAACGAAGATTGTAGAAATTAAATTGTTGCTCAATAGGTGGCGATAAAAACCCATCTGAATGTCTGTCACTGTATTTTTAATGTTTAATTGGGCTAATCATTTTTGATTGAAGTCTTTATATGCAGGTTATTCAATCATTAACTAAAAATGAGATTGAAAAATATATATAACATATATAGATATATATATTTTACACTGATCTATATTACAAACAATGTTAACAATTATCTATAAAGATAAATTAATTATAATTATCTATAAAGATCTAAAACGCAAATAAACTCTTCTGAAGACAATATTTCCTAGAAAGATCATCCCCAAGTGTAATAATGAGCACTGCTGTTGTGGTTAATAATGAAGTAAAATACAACAAACCAGACAAGTGCTGCACGGACAAATCAAATGGGTTCAGAAAGTCATGTTACAAGAATGCAAGTCATTATTTTGGATATTATTTGACTGTTTCTCGAGATTGAATCCTCATTAAGTTCATAAAGTTCTCAGAAAGTTTCTTATGATTATGACTTGCAAATTGTATATATATTTAACGGCATGATCTTTTAACTTGCGTCCAATCCCGGCTAACTTCCGGAAAGGCACAGTAGCCAATAGCGTTAGAGATAACAAGTAAACCAAGTCAACCAAGTAATCTGCTCACGGTTCACTTCTCCTCGCGCGCAAACATCACCGCTGCGCTCGATTTATATTGCCATTGATTTGCCGCCATACTTCACCACATCATTCTGTGTTCACACTGAACATTTTCCTGTTTTTTTTTTTTAGGTAAAGTCTTAAATTTTCATTTTAGAGGACTTAAAAAGGTCTTAAAAGGTCTTAAATTTTTTGTTAAAAAATGTGCAGATACCCTGCATAAGCATCTCATCGATGATTATTTACACAGTTGGCATTAAGAAGAACATATAAACGTGATCTGACTAACTTCTAGCAGCTAAATGTGTCTGGAAACATATTCAAAAGCTTTTATTCTCACAAACCGCGCGGACGTAAATGCGTCTGACTGTTGTGATTGGCTAAAGCAGACGTCTCACGTCAGCACGTTCTAGACGTGCACGCGCTTATTACGGCAATCTTCCTTCTGCATTCACACAGCGCAGCATTCCGGCAAATTACCGGTAATGTTACAACTTCTCTTTCCGGAAAATAGCCAGAACGAATTTACCGGTATTTTCAAAAAGGACCTGTTCACACATACAACCTTTCCGGAAAATTGCCGGCAATTTTCCGGAAAGGTCTGTATGTGTGAAAGGGGCTATTGTTAATTCGTTAACTCCCAGAGCATTAACTAATGTTAAGGAGCACTTTTTGGATGTTAATAATGCATTGGTTAACGCTAAACTATGATTATTAATTAACGCTGTACACATATTGTTCATTATTAGTTCATGTTAGTGAATACATTAATTAATGGAGCATTATTTTAAAGTGTTACTAAAATATTTAATAAAATCATTCAGATTTTATCCTGTCGAGCTGTTTTTTTGCAGAAATTTAAGTGACATTAAAATGTCTAGTGTACTGTAATATACAACAGCACCAAGATAATAAATAACTTCCAATTATTAAACATTTTAAATACAATTTTTATAACCTTTTAACATCAAATGTTGTTGGGGAAAAGATTAAGGTCTCCTAATGCAACCAAAAAGCAGAAGTAAATTTTAAAAATATGACGTAAAAATGTTAATTTACTGATATTTTTTACCCCCAACACTGTGTTTTTCTTCCGCAGAGCATTTAGGATGATATTATTGGTTCTTGGTGATTTATAAAATGTCATCGTAAAAACATTTGTATGTAAAGCTAAATGAATATTTGGTTTCAGACTGTTGCAGAAGTTCAGTTATTCACAGGTTTTCAGACACCCTGAGGCTAATTTCAGTGTCACTACAATTGCAGAAACTTTAAACATTCGCAGAAGGAAACATGATCAGGGTTTCTGCTTTAAACCAAATATCCAATTTCGTGTTTTTACTTCAATGACTACAAAGCTGAATGTACATGACATTTAATGGACGTTAAGGCAGGCTACTGATGGGCTAATGCATTAAAATAGTATGTTAAAATAATAACATAAGCGTGAATATTTAGCGTGAATATAATTTTTCATGAGTTTAATAGCAGCTATGAGAGCAACAGTGGATAATTTACCTCAAGTTTTGAAAAAATTAATGTGGTTCTCAGTACTGTTTGCGGTCAAATCTATTCAAATTGATATTATGTAAAGAAAATATGATATAAAAAAGTGACATTATGATAAATGGACACAGAAATGTAAAGCGACAAACCAAAAACTCAGTGAAATGTTTCACCATTTACTGCATTTTAAATGATAACAATAGTAACTAGTTAAAGTTTGAGGACAAACTTTATGGTGGCTTGAGAAATCCTGTTGAAGTAGTTTATTTAGTTTGAAAAAGCATCAAGTTGGCTAAAAGAATGTTTAAGATCCCTGCAGTCAACAACGTGACCACTTTAAAGACTGAAGCAAGTCAGTAAACAGATTTAAAGTTGATCCCTGTGTCTGAGGTTGGTAATAGCACAAAACTAGCATGACTGTAGCATGCATTAGCATGATACTAGCATGTATTAGCATGATGCTAGCATGAATTAGCTTGATTCTAACAAATTAGCACGTTATTAGCATGTTGTTCGCATGATTCCAACATGAATTAGCATGTAACTAACATGATTCTAGCACAAAATACCATGTTATTGGCATGTTTCTAACAATGATTAGCTTGTTGTTAGCATGATTCCAACTCAAATTATCATGTTTCTATCATGAATTAGCATTTTCCTAGCATGTTATTAGCATGTTTCTAACATTGATTAGCATGTTATCAGCATGTTTCTAACATTGATTAGCATGTTGCTAGCATGTTTCTAACATTGATTACCATGTTATTAAAATTGTTCCAACATAAATTAGCATGTTTCCAGCATGAATAAGCATGTAACTAACATGCTTCTAGCATAAATTAGCACATTGTTGGCATGTTACTAACATTAATTAGCACAAATTAACATGATTCTAGCATGAATTAGCACAAATTAGCATGATTCTAACAAATTAGCACATTATTAGCATGGATTAGCATGTTGTTTGCATGATTCCAACATGAATTGGCATGTTTCTAGCATGTTTCCGACACAAATTAGCATGGTGTTAGCATGATTCTAGCATGAATTAAAATGTAACTAACATGATTCTAGCACAAATTACCATGTTATTGGCATGTTTCTAACAATGATTAGCTTGTTGTTAGCATAATTCCAACACACATTATCATGTTTCTATCATGAACTAGCATTTTCCTAGCATGTTATCAGCATGTTTCTAACATTGATTAACATGTTGTTAGCATGTTTTTAACATTGATTAGCCTGTTATTAACATTGTTCCAACATAAATTAGCATGTTGTTAGCATGTTTATAGCATGAATTAGCATGTTGTTAACATGATTCTAGCTTGAATTAGCATGCTATTAATATGATTCTAACATGGATTAGCATTTTGTTAGCATGTTTCTAGCATGAATAATCATGTTGTTAGCATAAATGAGCATGTGTTCGTATGTTACTAGCAAGATTAGCATGTCAGTAGCATGTTCGAATTGTTAGCATTTTTAGCATCATAAGTTTTAGAACAGCTAGTCACTGTCTGGAACAGTTGCTAGGGTGCTGAAATTGGTTGCTAGAGAGTGGCTAGTAAGTCTAAAGGTCATCAGTGGTTGGCTGCTGGCTCGTCTGGGTTAAATGAGGCCTGACTCTAGTCTGTAGGACAGTCTGATGCAGAGTTATGAGCTCACAAAGTGTGACCCAATGTTAAGTCTATGGGACTTTTCGGAAATTTCCGGGTAATTTTTTTAGAAAACCAAAAGTCGGATCAGTCAGAAAAGATATAGCAACAGGAGTCAGATCAGTCTGAAGGTCTGACGAAAGTTTGAAGGCTGTAGATTGAATGGTTTAAAAGGAGATGGACATTAAAAGACGGAAGAAGAAGTTTAAGTGAGATCTAGCCACCATATTTATAGTCATGTGTGACAGTAAACGTCACCGCAACAACCCACACCTCTTCATTCTGTTCAAAAGTGTTCACCCCCCGACTCTTAAAGAAAGTTACCCCCTGAAGTGTCCTGAAAGCCGATTTTTTTATTTTTTTTTCTGTCTGTGTGTGTGTCAGGCGGACGGGCCGATGCGTGTGCTGGTGACCGGTGGCAGTGGGCTGGTGGGCCGAGCGATAGAGCGAGTGGTGAAAGAGGGAGAAGGAAGAGAAGGAGAAGAATGGATATTCCTGTCATCCAAAGAGGCCAATCTTGTGTAAGTAAAGACGTCACACACACATTCTACACAAAAATCAACCATGCATCACATATATAACAGTCATGCACCGTTTAGAAAATACACATGCAATATCCATAACCGTCACTCGACTGACTGAGCTGATAAGGTTAACATTTTAGTGCAGCCGTATGTACAGTTGAAGTCAGGATTATTCACCCCCCCTTTGAATGTTTTTTCTTTTTTTAAATATTTCCCAAAGGATGTTGAGCCGATTCAGGAAATCTTCACAGTATGTCTGATAATATTTTTTCTTCTGAGGAAAGTCTTATTTGTTTTATTTCGCCTAGAATAAAAGCAGTTTTCAATTTTTTAAACACCATTTTAAGGTTAATATTATTAGCACCTTTAAGCTATTTTTTTATTCTCAAAAGTCTACAGAACAAATCATCATTATACAATAACTTGCCTAATTACCCTAACCTGCCTAATTACCCTAGTGAAGCCTTTAAATGTCACTTTAAGCTGTATAGAAGTGTCTTGAAGAATATCTAGTCTAATATTATTTACTGTCATCATGACAAAGATAAAATAAATCAGTTATTAGAGATGAGTTATCAAAACTATTATATTTAGAAATGTGTTGAGGAAATCTGCTCTCCGTTAAACAGAAATTGGGGAAAAAATAAACAGGGGGTTAATAATTCAGGGGGGCTAATAATTCTGACTTCAGCTGTATATTATTAATAGAATATTGATTTACTCAGAAGATTAGAAATAGCTGCTGTTTAGTAGGTTGTTGAAGGGATGGTTCAGCATCCCCTGTGTGCTTTTTAACATTTATGAATTTCTTGTGTTGCAAACCAAAATAGATATTTTGAAGAATGCTGGTTGCTGGAACCCATTGACTTCCATAAAAGAATAGAAAAATGACTATGGATGTAAGAGGTGTGAGCCTACACTGGTCTCACGGTTCGGTTACGATTATCATGTTATCGATTTGGTTCAATTCGATATCTCAGTGCATCATGGTGCATTGACGATGCTTTCCATACACAATTATATTTTACTTCACAGCACAACACTGGAGCAGCTCTATACCCTCACCAGGGTGCTCAAGGGTTCATGGGAGTATGCCCAACCAGTCCACATGTGTTTTGTGGACTTGGAGAAGGCATTCGACCGTGTCCCTGGTGGCATTCTGTGGAGGGTGCTCGGGGAGTATGGGGTCAGAGGCACTCTGTTGAGGGTCGTCTCGTCCCTGTATGAACAGAGTAGGAGTCTGGTTCGCATTGCCGGCAATAAGTCAGACTTGTTTCCAGTGCATGTTGGATTCCGGCAGGGCTGCCCTTTGTCACCAAGTCTGTTCATCATTTTTATGGACAGAATTTCAAGGCGCAGCCTTGGGCTGGAGGGGGTCCGGTTTGGGGACCACAGGATTTCATCTGTTATACGCAGACGATGTTGTTCTGTTGGCTTCATCCAACATGGACCTTCAGCATGCACTGGGGCGGTTTGCTGCCGAGTGTGTCATGGCTGGGATGAGAATCAGCATCTCCAAGTCCGAGGCCATGGTGCTCCACCGGAAGAAGGTGGTTTGTCATCTCCAGGTTGGAGGAAAGTCCTTACCCCAGGTGGAGGAGTTCAAGTATCTCGGGGTTTTGTTTACCAGTGAGGGAAGGATGGAGCGTGAGATTGACAGGCGGATTGGTGCAGTGGAAGCAGTAATGCAGTCGATGTACCGGTCCGTTGTGGTAAAGAAGGAGCTGAGCCGAAAGGAAAAGCTCTCGATTTACCGGTTAATCTACGTTTCTTCTCTCACCTTTGGTCATGAGCTTTGGATCATGACCGAAAGGACAAGATCTCGGATACAAGCGGCCGAAATGAGTTTCCTTCGAAGAGTTGCAGGGCGCACTCTTATGGATAGGGTGAGGAGCTCTGCCCCCTGGGAGGAGCTCGGAGTAGAGCCGCTGCTGCTCCACATCGAGAGAAGTCAGCTGAGGTGGCTCGGGCATCTGTTTCGGATGCCTCCTGGACGCCTACCTAGGGAGGTGTTCCAGGCATGTCCCACCAGGAGGCGGCCTCGGGGAAAACCCAGGACACGCTGGAGGGACTATGTCTCTCGGCTGGCCTGGGAACGCCTCGGGATCCCCCCGGAAGAGCGGGACGAAGTGTGGATGACTGCGGCCCCCGCGACCTGGCCCTGGAAAAGCGGCAGAAAATGAATGAATAAATGAGCACAACAGTTCTTGTATTTAAAAATATAAATATGGTTATGTATTATTTGTAATACAATTTTGCCATTTAATCCAAGCAGTCAGATATATGAACTGTCCCTTTAAAAACACAGAATAACATGAGCATTTACTGCAAATAAACAAATGTAAATATTATCCTGCTCGCTTTCTGAGCCTTGTCAAGTTCTTACACCCCTTTGATTGGTTATGTGCTCAACACAAAGAGCTGCGATTGGCTCTAATGCTCTGGCGCTGTTCACTGATGAGTAGGGTCGGGTGTCGTTTGGGTTTATTTCGATACCAGTGCTAAATCGATACTTTTAAAATGGTACCAGTACCAAAACGGTGCCTGAACCAATACTTTTTGGCAAAAAATATATATATTTTAATCATTATAATTAAACAATATAAATATATATTTATAATACGTTTAAAGTAAACATCAATTCATATTTTATGTATTTAAATTGCATTAATATATTTATTATGATCATTTGTTTGTTAGCATGAATGCAAGATTTGCATCATGCTATTAACATTACATTAGCTTAGTACTAACCTGTGGAAAGGCTGTCATCAAAATCGGGGAACACCTTTTGTCTGGGTTTGGGGCTTGTGACTACTTTTACATGGACATCAGGGGTCTAATGATTTGCCTTAATCTAAATACGACAATGGAAAATTTGTCCAACTGCATGTCCAATATTGTACAATGGATGACTGCAATTTTTTTAAAGTTGAATAAAGATAAAACAGAAACTCTTATTGTGGGCAAAACACCTGAGCGAGAGAGGGTTGAAGCAGAATTGTGTTCTCTAGGTTTACAATCCAAGAAAGAATTAAAGAACCTGGGTGTTATTTTCGATTGTGATCTCACTTTTAAATCTCAAATCAATCACGTTAAAAAAACATGTTTTTATCAATTAAGAAATATTGCAAAATTCGTTCTTTTCTATCTTTTGATGATGCTAAGAAATTAATACATGCTTTTATTTTCTCTCGGCTTGATTATTGCAATGCTATTTATACTGGTCTACCTAAGGGTTCTACAATGAAGTTGCAATTGATACAAAATGCAGCAGCCAGAGTTTTAATGAAATTGAAGAAACGAGAGCACATCACACCAGTATTAATAGAATTACACTGGTTACCCGTGCACCAAATAATAGATTTTAAGATTCTTTTATTAGTTTATAAAGCACTTCACAACATGACACCTTCCTACATTTCTGACTGTTTAACAAAATATTATCCAAACCGTTTGCTACGCTCTTCTAGTGCTGGACTTTTAGAATTTTATCCTGTAAATCGGATGCGATCTGGCGGCACTTCTTTTAGCCATTATGCTCCAAAAATTTGGAACTGTCTCCCTCTTGAAGTGAAAGAATCTCCAAGTATTCATGTTTTTAAAAAGCGTGTTAAGACGCATCTTTTTAAAATTGCGTATGAATACACAAGTTTGTAGGGTGTACGCATTTTATCTATATATAATAAACGCAACAAATAGGCTTTACTTTTTATTCTACAGCTTAAAGCATGTACTCAGATTAATGCAGTATCATATTTAAACAACAAAACTTTTTACAAAAAGTCTACATATGCGCGCGTTGTTGCTGTCTTTTCATCACGCAGCGCGCGCACTTGAACCGCGAGGGAGAGAGAGGAAACCAAAGGCTATATCAGGACATATTCTTTAAAATAATGATTTCTATTAAAATGTAAAAGGTTTTGTGATTATAATAATAACAGCGGGGCATTAAATAAATGCATATATTCCGTGGAGCGGGCAATTTGAGGAAGTTAGCTATTTTTATTTGACGGAAGAAAAAACATATGATTGGGAAAAAAAAGCCTATGCCGGTTATTAAAAAGAATCAGTCAGTATTTTCGTTTTGTAAAATAAATTCATTATTTAAGTGAAAATAATTTAGGGCAGTCCTATTTATTTTATTCATTTTATTTAGATTATTCTGCTCTTCTGTGCAAAACACTGCAGGTGCGTGAAGATGCTCTGTTGTTCTGTTCCGCTATTAATATATAAAAATAAATCAGTATTTTAAAATGCAATATTTAATGTGTCAGACACAAAATAGACACGTCAATTTGTTTAATATAAAATTAATAGTAATCTGACCAGTTCACCGTTAATAACCGATTAATAAGCGGCGGTTGTCGTTTAGCAAAATTAACGAAATGAGCATCCCTAGTAGCGATTTAATTTACTTTTTCTATGTAAGAGAACTTGATTGAAAAATAATTTTCAACATGCTTGAACCATCTACACAATGGAGTTCAGTTCTGTTTGGTTTTTCAACAGTATTTTGTTACAAAGAAAACAGAAGTGATATAGCTTTGGCTATTTATTTATTTTAGATATGGCTATTTATATTGTTAATAATTTGCATAGTTAATATTGTTCTTTGATGTTTAGTTTATAAAGATTTTTCAAATGTTATTTAATAAAAAATAGTTTTAAAAATCTTTTTTTTCCCACCCCACACGAAAAAAAAAAAAATCGTGATACGAATCGAATCGTGGGTCAAAAATCGTGATACGAACTGAATCGTGGGTTTGGTGTATCGTTACAGCCCTAATATGAATGCTTTTATTTGAAAATATGTGATAAGTTTATGTGGTCTGTTTTAATGCTTTTTTGTTGTTGTTTGTGAGGCACTTTGAGTTGCATGTATGTTGGAAAAGTGCTATACAAATAAAGTTTATTATTATTAATGATATGCTTCAGGTGTTTACATGAGCTGCTTTTTGAATGTTACATTCATGATTCCCAGTTACATGTTATAGCACACAGATCCCTCAACGTCATTGTGTGACCAACCTGTAAATGTTTCCTCCGCAGTTTGTGTCTGTGGTCCTTTAAGATAATCAAACATCACTGTTTACGTGGTCGACTCTTGATCAGAGTGTTGTCTTAATCGTATTAAAATCAGAGTACTGGTGTCCATGTAAACATGCTTACTGAAAGTGCCAGATGATGTCACAAGCTGTCAAAGACAAGTTAATTCCAGGAGCCCTCACATTTCATAAGTTTGACGTGTTTCTCACACATTTAACTTATGTAAAGCGTCTGCTGCATGTTGGTGTGTCAGAATCCTTGCTTGTAAAATATAGCTATACTGTAGAATGCTTAGTTTAAGCAAATTAGATAAAGGCGATTGTGTGTGTTGATGAAGTGAGTCGCTCACCACATGCACCGTACTGCGCGCTTTGTCTTTTATAAGCTACAATAACAAACGCCTGATATAGCTGACATCCGTATCCCTTAAAGTTGTGGAAAGAAAAGCTGAATGAAACATTTAGAGATGGTGTGAGACAACGCATACTTATGTGTGCCTTTAATGCTCAAATATAAGATTTTTCCACCAATATTTCCACTGTTTCTGTAGGAGCGCTGAACAGACGAGAGCCGCGTTTGAGAAGCATCGTCCCACACACGTCATTCATTTAGCTGCGATGGTCGGCGGACTCTACAGGAATATGAGACAGAACCTGGACTTCTGGGTAATTATATAACATGTGTACAAGTCAAAATTATTCCCCCTCCTCTGAATTTATCTTCCAAGTATATCCCAGATGATGTTGAACAGATTCAGGAATTTTTCACTGTATTTCCTATAATATTTTTTCTTCTCAAGAAAGTCTGATTTGTTTTATTTCAGCTGGAATTTTTAATTGTTTTAAAACCATTTTAAGGTCAATATTATTAGCCCCCTCAAGCAATATTAGTTTTAGATTGTCTCCAGAACAAACCACTGTTATACAATGACTTGCCTAATTACCCGAACTTTACCCTAATTACCCTAGTGAAGCCTTTAAATGCCACTTTACGCTGAATACTAGTGTCTTGAAGAATATCTAGTCTAATATCATGTACTGTCATCATGGCAAATAGAAAATAAATCAGCTCTTATGTTTAGAAATGTGTTTCTTTGTTTGTTTTCAGAGGAATAATGTGCACATCAATGACAATGTACTGAACATGTCTCATGAGTTTGGAGTGGTGAAGGTGGTGTCCTGTCTGTCCACCTGCGTTTTTCCAGATAAAACCAAATACCCTATAGACGAGACTATGGTAAACACACACGCACACACCTGTACCGCTATCTGTGTCTTGTATTTACTGTACAGACTGTATATTCTCTTCCTTTTCCCATAAACCAAAGCATCACATGAAACTATCTGCATTTTTAACATTCTGTGAGATTTATTAGCCGTAAAATGTCCCCACAAGGTCCAAATGTACTGGCATTGTGATACTTGTGGGGACATTTGGTCTCCACCAGTGTTGGGTGTAATTAGTCACAAAGTAGTTGCTGTAATTTATACATTGTATGCTTAAGAAATAGAGTACGGGACTTCATTTCATTTTTAGGTCATTTAAATAAGTAAATTAATTAATTAATTTTAAGTAATTTAACTAATTTACTTTGTTACTTATTATTAGGCCCACAGGGAGTCTGCAGACTTTTAGCCCTCCATTGAATCTATTTATTTACTTGTGTGAATGTGTGTAAGTTTATATTTAACAACTTCCTAATTCATTTCAGCAATAATATGGACTAATATGAAAATGTTTATATGATTTATGTACAGTACAGTTTGAAAAAGGAATATTTTCTTTCTCATCCATTTATTTCCTTCAGCTTAGTTCCTTTATTAAACTGGGGTCGCCACAGTGGAATGAACTGCCAATTATTCCAGCTTATGTTTTACACAGCGGATGCCCTTCCAGCTGCAACCCAGTACTGAGAAACACCCTTACACTCTCACATTCACACACACTCATACACTACGGCCAATTTAGTTCATCAGTTCCCCTATAGCGCATGTGTTGTTTGGACTGTGGGGGAAACCGGAGCACTCAGAGGAAACCCACGCCAATACAGGGAGAACATGCAAACTCCACACAGAAACGCCAACTGACCCAGTCGGGACTCGAACCAGCGACCTTTTTGCTCGACCACTGAGCCATTGTGCCGCCTCTTAACGTAATCAGTAACTGATTAATTTTGTGAAGTACCTTACCCTTGCTGAACACAATATAAGGAAACACACACACACACACACACACACAAATAGACATGTTGCTCAGAGTGAATAAAAAACTAAATTTGATGTTCAGAAACTTGACACGTCCTGTCTAGACATGATTACACGGAAGTAGGAGGAAAAAAACATTATTATCTATCTGTCTATTGACTCTCTCTCTCTCTCTCTCTCTCTCTCTCTCTCAATAATTTAATAATAAATTTAATTCAGTAATTGCTTTATTGTCATGACAAATGTTACAAATGTATTGTCAAAGCATTCATAAAGTTTACATTAAAAGAACATGCATATATATATATATATATATATATATATATATATATATATATATATATATATATATATATATACACGGTTAAAGTTAGAATTATTAGCCCCCCTTTAAATTATATTTTGTTTTTAAATATTTCCTGAAAGATGTTAAAGCTAGAAATGTTCACAGTATGTCTGAAAATATTTTTTCTTCTGGAGAAAGTTTTATTTGTTTTATTTCGGCTAGAATAAAAGCAGATTTTATTTTTTAAACACCATTTTAAGGACAATATTATTAGCCCCTTTAAGCTATATTTGTTTTCTGATAGTCTACAGAACAAACCATCATTATACAATAACTTGCCTTATTACATTAGTTAAGCCTTTAAATGTCACTTTAAGCTGTATAGAAGTGTCTTGAAGAATACCTAGTCTAATTTTATTTACTGTCATCATGACAAAGAGAAAATAAATCAGTTATAAGAGATGAGTTATTAAACTATTATTATTATTATATTATTATATTATAAAAAATAAACGGGGGGCTAATAATTCTGACTTTAACTGTATATATATATATATATATATATATATATATATATATATATATATATATATATATATATATATATATATATATATATAAAACATAGTAAACACAGTAAATAGTAGTATAGTATTAATAATAATAGCAAAAATACAAATAAATAAATAAATAAATAAAATAGGTATCACGGTGGCACAGTGGGTAGCACGATCGCCTCACAGCAAGAAGGTCGCTGGTTCGAGCCTCGGCTGGGTCAGTTGGTGTTTCTGTGTGGAGTTTGCATGTTCTCTCCGTGTTGGCGTGGGTTTCCTCCAGGTGCTCCGGTTTCCCCCACAAGTCCAAACACATGAGCTATAGGGTAATTGGGTAGGCTAAATTGTCCGTAGTGTATAAATGTGTGTATGTGTGTCTGGGCGTTTCCCAGTGATTTGTTGCAGCAGAAAGGGTATCCACTGTGTAAAACATATGCTGGAAAAGTTAATGAATAAAGGGACAAAGCCGAGAAGAAAATGAAGAAATGAATAATAATAAAACAAAAAAGAAAAGCAATAATAATAAATCAGAATAAACGGTACGTTTAACAATCAACATCTCTCTCTCTCTCTCTCTCTCTGTCTCTCTCATGTAAAATGTAAATTTTATCTAAAAATGTTTCCAAAAAATGTGTAGAAATATAATAGCCTCATGACAACCATGTTAATGACAGATTTATGACAAGTTTTGTTGTGTTGGTCATGTCAAGTTGTCATAACTAAGACAAAAACAGGTTGTGATGTATTTAAAGAGTTCAGATGTAAAAGCCGCTAAACGCCACTTCCGCCAACAATGAGAAAATGACACTGAGTGAATGTTTTGGGCACGTAGCACACCATCAACAAATATTTTTGCTTCAAATCATCCACATCTCAGCGTCAGCACATTTAGAAATAACAGTTTGTTGGCAAAAGCCACTAAACGCCACTTGCCTTTGACAGCAAAAGCCGCTATATCCCGAGAACCAATCAGAAGGTGCGAATTGAATCATATGTGTTCAATATAGCAGCTTTATGAGGCTTCATTATGATTCACTTCCGATTTTAAAAGATGGAGTCTGATGAACTGGATGAGGCTGTTCGACTGTCAGTGAATGGCAAATGAAAACGTCCATAACCGCGAAACTCTCTGCATTATAAGAAAAAGAAAACACACTGTACAGTCAGAAGTGTAGCGTGCATTCATAACGTGTTTTTGAGCAGCGACGCTACTTTGAATGAGTCCGATTTACTATAGCTACATTAAACAGCAACTCCATTTCACGAAAGACGAAGTTAAGATTCTTTTCTTTTATCCCATGTGGATGCTATGAGGACAAACAAGAGACAAAGACTGAGTATGGTGAGAATGAATGAATGGCAGCTTCTATAAATTGTCTGAGAGACGTCCCCTTTTTGCCCAGTAGGCCTACCTTGCGTTTTATTTGCTAATGTAAGCCATTTTTTAACAGATAAATATAATATATAGAACTCTACATCATTTATATCAGTGGTTCTCAAAGCGGGGGTCGCGGGACAATGAGAGGGGGTCGCTTGGTGATTTACAAAAATCTAATAAATTTGAATAAACTTTTATGATTACCATTGTTAATCCATAACCTACAGAAGATAAAAAATAGTTACATTAAAAATACAGTATCCAAACAAAAAGCCATCAGCCTTTGGTTTGTTGTTGTTGTTGTTGTTTACATTGGTTGCAACATTAGATTAATGACAAAGCAATAGCGTCAGTGCACCAGATTTTACAGCACTAGCTAAACTTTCTGACACCGTTACAGCACTCACGTACATTTAAAATACAAACAGGACACTAAACATGGAGTATGATGTGTAAGTGGCAGTCTCCAAAATTAAACCAAGAAAAGACTTGGGATGCAACTTAAATATTGTGCCCACCAGTCTAATTAGATGAGGTTAATATAAAATAATCATAATAAAAATGATATGGGACTGTTGCTTTTTTTGTGTTGTCAATATGCTTGTGTTTATATAGGCTGATTGGTTTGTGTGAGTGTTGTGTGCAACGTTTGTATGATTAAAACCACTTACGAAAATAGTGGAGGTCGCGAGTCATTGGCATTGTTATTTTGGGGGTCCCGGGCTGAAAAGTTTGAGAACCCCTGATTTATATTACTTCATATTACCTACTCGTCTGATAAGCTTTTTATATTAATGGACAATGCACAGATATTGATGTTTCACAATGTTTTAGACTACATTATTTTAATCTAACAAGCTTAGTTTACAATGTTTACACTGTTTACATCGCTCTACTTGCATCCACATCCCAAATATAAAAAATGCCAACAGATTGTTCAGATTTAATTAATGTCATTTATAATGTTATTGGTTAGTGCACCTGACAGATTTCATTCTTTCATTTTCCTTCTGCTTTGTCCCTGGTTTACCACAGCAGAATGAACCGCCACTTACTTGACAGATTAATCTATTTTTAATTTTAGGTGTTTAATGTTTGGTAAAATAATTTCTAATGGCATCCTTTTTCAGCTAATTACTCTGTCTTGTCCCGATAGGTGGATTTAGAGGTTTTTGCATAAAAAGCAGATGTGGATTTAGCTGGTTTTGACGCAAAAGAAAATCTCCCTTGTTAAAAACGAAAGAATAGTCTAAAGTGACATGATGAAAAAAAAAAGGTATTTCATTTACCTGCTAATAACCTGATCATTACATATAAAATGAAACTACTGAACCTGATGAGAGGAGCCTGATAGAAAATGCTCATTTACAAGAAAAGAGATGTGATGGATTTACAGGGTTTTGCATCTGAACTCTTCATTTGCTTATATCAAGTTATCATTAACAGTGTCCTGTTTGCATTTAAAATGTCATAACTAAGCGAATGACACTCAATAACAGTTGTCATAAGCATACATAAAGTCTCGCATCACATTTATTCAAGTGTCATGTCATGATTTTAAAGGTCTTATGAACACCCCTTTAGGTAAAGTGTTACAGTCTTTTCTCAATGAAGCATAGGTTGTATTAACACTGTTGTTTGGGATGTTCCAATCAATTCTGGGGGGATTTTGACTCTTAATTTGGCCACAACCTTCTCTGTGTTTCAGCAAATTAAATGATTTTGCTGACAAATCTTTCTACGACACATATTTTAGGAAAATGCTTTGAAAATGTTCAAACACTCAATATACTCTGAGCAAATTGACGCCCCTTTGGTTATTTTGGTGCTGTTTTTGCCCCATTGACCTCCTTTATAATCACATTTATGTTTGCAAAGCCATGACAGCATATAATCATACATTCTGGATTGTTGCTGGGTTTCCCTGTTGGGAGGAGGGACAATGAGTCATTTTTGCTGTTGATTATCAGTTGCAGTGCAAAAAAATCTTAGTTTCTAGCTTTTATATTGAGTTATTTGGAGTATATAGTGACAGTAAACACAGTAAGTGTATTTCTGCACACACACAAACTATAATCTGATGTTTCTATCAGGAATTAGCATTGTCCTAGCATGTTTGTAGCATGTAGCATGCTAGGACTGTAGTTTGTAGCATGTTGTTAACATTATTCAAATATGAATTAATGAATAAGCATGTTGTCATGTTTCTAAAATGAATTAGCATGTTATTAGCATGTCTCTAGCATGAATTAGCGTGTAACTAGAATTATTATAGGATCAATTAGAATGTTGTAAGCATGATTCTAACATGATTTAGTATGTTACTAACACAAATTAGCATGTTGTTGACATAATTTTAGTATGAATTAGCATATAACTAGCATGAATTAGCATGTTATTAGCATATTTCTAACATTGATTAGCATGTTGTTAACATGATTCCAACATGAAACAGCAGGTTGTTAGCATGATTCTAACATGACTTAGCATGTTGTTAACATGTTTCCAGCATGAATTAGCATGTTGTTTGCATGATTCTATTATGAATTAGCATGTTGTTAGCATGTTTCTAACATTGAATAGCATGTTGTTAACATGTTTCTAGCATGTTGTTAGCATGATTCTAGTATGAATTAGCATTAGCATGTAGTATGAATTAGCATGTTATTAACGTGTTTCTAACATGGAATAGCATGTTGTTAGCATGTTTCTAGCATAAATTAGCATGTTGTTAGCATGTTTCTAGCATAAATTAGCATGTTGTTAGCATGATTCTAGTATGAATTAGCATTAGCATGTAGTATGAATTAGCATGTTATTAACACTTAATAACAGTTGTCATAAGCATACATAAAGTCTCGCATCACATTTATTCAAGTGTCATGTCATGATTTTAAAGGTCTTATGAACACCCCTCTAGGTAAAGTGTTACAGTCTTTTCTCAATGAAGCATAGGTTGTTTTAACACTGTTGTTTGGGATGTTCCAATCAATTCTGGGGGATTTTGACTCTTAATTTGGCCACAACCTTCTCTGTGTTTCAGCAAATTAAATGATTTTGCTGACAAATCTTTCTACGACACATATTTTAGGAAAATGCTTTGAAAATGTTTAAACACTCAATATACTCTGAGCAAATTGACGCCCCTTTGGTTATTTTGGTGCTGTTTCTGCCCCATTGACCTCCTTTATAATAACATTTATGGTTGCAAAGCCATGACAGCATATAATCATACATTCTGGATTGTTGCTGTTTGGAAAAGGGACAATGAGTCATTTTTGCTGTTAATCATCGGTTGCAGTGCAAAAAAAAAAAAGAGCTTAGTTTCTAGCTTTTATATTGAGTTATTTGGAGAATATAGTGACAGTAAACACAGTAAGTGTATTTCTGCACACACACACACACACACACTATAATCCGCTCTTTTACTCCACTGAACTCCATATAAAAGCCAGAAACTCTTCAGCACAGGCCGATCTAAAGGGTTAATGCTGACAACTGATGATCAACAGTAATAATAACACATTTTACCTTTTCCAAACAGGGAAAACCAGCAACACTCAAGAATGCATGTATATGTGCTGTCATAACTTTGCATTATAATAGAAGTCAATGGGGCAAAAACAGCCCCCAACATAACCAATGGGAAGTCAATCTGAACAATACACAAAGGTTAAATTAAGCTGCTTAAATTCCTCTGTCTCTCTCTCTCTCTCTCTCTCACCAGATGCATGATGGCGCTCCTCATGACTCTAATTACGGTTATGCCTACGCTAAGCGCATGATTGACGTGCACAACAGGTCAGTTTGTCTCTTTTAACGTAAAAGTTCACTTGTGTTGAGCCGTTCTGGGTGTAGCTCAGAAATTAACATCCGTATAGCATTTCAAAACCTAAAAGTGTTGCAAAGCTCTGTTTTGTTTGGGGAAAATGAAACCTGCCTTTACTGGCGTCTTGGTTTTTTGTGTGTAGTGTCAGTATTGGGGCGTGGCGTGATGTTTGTTATGTAGACGCACTCGAGCGTGACTCTGGATATACAGGTTTGGGTTTCCCATTACTGTTAGTTCTGCCACGTACACACTGCGCATATACACTGATCTCAGTTCAGCTTTAAGCTTTCTGTTTATGGGTAGCTGACATATGGGCAATAAATCCTTATTGACATGATAGCATCACACAGTTGCTGCAGATTTGTCGGCTGCACATCCATTATGCCAACCTCCCGTTCCACCACATCCCAAAGCTGCTCTATTGGATTGAGCTCTGGTGGCTGTGGAGGCCATTTGAGTACAGTGAACTCATTGTCATGTTCAAGAAACCAGTCTGAGATGATTGAGCTTTATGACATGGTGCGTTATCCTGCTGGAAGTAGCCATCAGAAGATGGAGACACTGTGCTCATAAAGGGATGGACATGGTCAGCAACAATACTCAGGTAGGCTGTGGCGTTGATGCTCAATTGGTACTAATGAACCCAAAGAAAATCTCCCCCACACCATTACACCACCACCACCAGCCTGAACCACTGATACAAGGCAGGATGGATCCATGCTTTCATGTTGTTGAGGCCAAATTCTGACCCGAGCATCCGAATGTGTCAGCAGAAATGGAGACTCAACAGAGCAGGCAACGTTTCTCCAATCTTCTATTGTCCAGTTTTGGTGAGTCTGTGTGAATTGTAGCCTCAGTTTCCTGTTCTTAGCTGACAGGAGTGGCACCCGGTGTGCTCTTCTGCTGCTGTAGCCCATCCGCCTCAAGGTTGGACGTGTTGTGTGTTCAGAGATGCTCTTCTGCAGAGCTCGGTTGTAACGAGTGCTTATTTGACTTACTGTTGCCTTTATATCAGCTGGAACCAGTCTGGCCATTCTCCTCTGACCTCTGGCATCAACAAGGCATTTGCGCCCACAGAACTGCCGCTCACTGGATATTTCCTCTTTGTCAGACCATTCTCTGTAAACCCTAGAGATGGTTGTGCATGAAAATCCCAGTAGATCAGCAGGTTAGAGTTTGAAGTGTTCTGGTTTAATTGTTTAACACTTGTGAAAGACAATGGTGGAGAGAGATGCTAGTTTGAGCTGCATTTCTACCAGTGCTGCTAACAATATTGATTTGATGAAGTTGCAAATGTTGGAAAGCACAGATAGGTTTTAATCAATGACTGTAAAAAATATGGACGACGCGACAGCCCCTTTTCCCATTAAGCGCCTTGAGGGCAAAACGCCTGCTTGACGGGCACAAACTGTCGCAAAAGACTGCTGAAATTGGAGCCTTGACATGCGCAGAAGGACTGTCTGATGGAGCCAGAGGAGGAGCCGCGAAAATGAGCGGAGTCGAGCTTCCAATCAAACGCTTTATGTAAAATCAACCACGCCCCCCGAACTTCTCAGCATGCGTTTGCTGTCATATCAACACAAATGGATGTAATAACGTTAACAAATATGAGGGTTTTATATATTCAATCGCGCCAGCTCCAGGCCGCAGCGCATAACCTACTCGCGGCGTCGCGGGCTGATTCCGGCTCGCTCGGCCGCCGCATCTGGCTCAATTGACTCGGGCTGGAATCGGGCAGTGAGTCCAGGCATCCGGAGTAGGTCCAGCAGAGGTAGTCAGTCTGAGCTCTGAGGGGTAAGTCTCCGGCAGGCGAGAATCTAGCCGAAACTGGTCCGAGTGTATTTTGCCATCTGGGTGGTTAGGCGTGTATCAGCAAACTAATAAAGCCCGAAAAAAGCCCTGAACTTAGCGAATAAACAGTGTTCCACCAGGATCATGTATGTCAGAAACTGTAGTTTACTGCTGAACTCATTTTGTCATGGTAAAATAACACAGAAATCGAATAATAACACTTCAGTCTCCTGCCGAAGCTCAGACGGTCTGCTTTGAGAAACTGTCAATCACAGCTGTCAATCACGATGACACGCCCAGCATTAAATTACTGCTAAAAACAAACTGTTTACAAAAATGAAGATCTGCACCTATTTCAGCACAATAACCAGTGCCTTAATCCACCAGAACCATCTTTCAGGACATTTTATTGCAAGTGTAATACATTTTTTTTATTTGGGCTCAAGTCTCCTTCATTAACACGGAGGAGGCGGGCTTTATGACTTGTACTGCAGCCAGCCCCCAAGGGGCGATCTAACGGCCGAGACCTTCACTCAAACACAGGCTTGCGGCACACTTGGTTTTAATCCATCATGCCATTTCCTCTGGAAAGGACTTCAGTGGTTTTAATTTTCAGCATGGTAATGATCCACTAATTGCAGTGAAATCCTATTTGGGGAAAGAAAACTGCTGATGAAACACAGACTGTAGTGAAATGGCCTCCACAGTGTCCAAACCTGAACATTATAGAGGCTGTATGGGATCACCTGGACAAAAAAGGAAAGATAAGACACTCTAAGGCTAAAGAATAAGCTAAAAGACGCCTGGTATTTCATAGCACGTTATTTCATGAAATCTCAAGACAATTTAAGGGAAGCCACATTAAACATTTGCTTTGAAATGTTGTGCTGTTGTTGTTTGGCTTAGTCCCTTTATTTATCTGGGGTCGCCACAGCAGAATGAACCGCTAACTTATCCAGCAAATGTTTTCACGCAGCGGATGCCCTTCCATCACTGGGAAACACCCATACACACTATACACTACGGTCAATTTTAGCATACCCAATTCACCTGTATCACATGTCTCTGGATTTCTGGGGGAAACCAGAGCACCTGGAGGAAACCCACGCCAACACTACCTACTGCGCCACTGTGTCGCCTATATATATTTACATATAAAACATCATTTTTGAAGGAAAATAGATGCATTTATGTAGGGCTGGACTATAATTCAATATCAATATGTATCACGATAGATTTTTTTTAATATAGGTGATATAATTTTTTAACCCATTTCCGGTATTTCGATATACATTTGCAAGCGTATGTTTTATTACGTATATAAGATCTTATACCTCGTATCATTTGTCACTGAATGACTTTATCACAGTCTAGGGCTGCATGATATTGTCATACGCTGTTGGTTTACCTGTCTAGCTGTGCCATTTTAAGTGCAGTGATGATTATTACATCTGAAGACGCTTTAATTTAATTTAACATGCTGTGTGTGTTTGTCTCCTGTGTGTTTCAGAGCGTTGTATCAGCAGTATGGCAGGAAATACACAGCCGTCATCCCGACTAACATGTTTGGAGCCCATGATAATTTCAACATCGAGGACGGTCACGTGATGCCAGGGTTGATCCACAAGACATACCTAGCTAAGAGTGAGACACATTTTAACTTGGATAATCATTCACACTCTGAAGTAGCAGTCAAAGGTCGCGTCATTCAGCTTTCTGTTTATGAAAGTCTGGATCACACTGCAAAGCATGCTTTTCTTGTTTCTTGTCTAAATATCTATAAATATCATATATCAAGAAGCATTTTCTAGACAAGCAAAACATAATGTCTTGTTTTAAGAAATAATGAATCAAAATTAAGTGAGTTTTTCATTAAAACGAGCTAAATAATCTGCCATTGTGGTAAGAAAAGTAGTCTTGTTTTTCCTTTTGACATAAGAGTACTTTGCTTACACTTAAAATGTCCTGATCAGTGCACTGACTAGTGAACAATTGAGCTGATTGAGACACATCCACATTCAGAGCATTCTGCATGGTTATGTGATAAATGTGTGTGTGTGTGTGTGTGTGTGTGTGTGTGTGTGTGTGTGTGTGTGTGTGTGTGTGTGTGTGTGTGTGTGTGTGTGTGTGTGTGTGTGTGTGTGTGTGTGTGTGTGTGTGTGTGTGTGTGTGTGTGTGTTTATAGAGGAAGGTAAACCTCTGGTGGTCTGGGGTTCCGGTCGCGCCCTGCGGCAGTTCATCTATTCTCTGGATCTGGCTCGTCTGTTTGTGTGGGTTCTGAGGAATTATGATGAGGTGGAGCCCATCATTGTTTCAGGTAATAAACAGTGTATAAAGTATTAATTCTCTTCCAGAATGAACGTGTCCTGATTGTTTACCCTCTTGTCTTGAAAGATGTTCATTTGTTTCTTCAGTTGAAAACAAATGAAGGTTTTTGAGGTGAATGTGCAGGATTGTTTTTGTATAGTGGACTTTTATGGTGCTCAGTGAAATGATATGGCTTAGGCCATTAATATAAAAAATATTGGTTGCTTTTGGGATTTAAAAGGCTTTTAGTTTTTTAAGAAATTGACTGGTGATTTCCCTTTTTTAGAGCTGTGGCAAAAAGATTTAGTCAAGAAACTGCATTGTTTCTGAGATTTTCAAAATGCATCGCTGTTCTCTCTTCAATCCATTCTGAGTGTAGTTTTTAACAGCAGATGGCGCTGTTTGCTTTACAAACACCCATACTCTGCTTGAATCCATTGCCAAAATAAAAATTAAGGCTAACATACAGCCGAAAACACAATCGCTCTTCCTCGTGAGTGTATGACTTGAAATTAGCCCAGAGTACCATCTGCTGTTAAAAACCAGCCTAGAGCGCCATCTGCTGTTATAAAACTAGCCTAGAGCACCGTCTGATGGTAAAAACTAACCTAGAGCGCCATCTGCTGTAAAAACTAGCCTAGAGTACCATCTGCTTTTAAAAGTAGCCTAGAGCGCCATCTTCTGTAAAAAAAAAACTAGCCTAGAGTGACATCTGGTGTGGTTGAAAAACTAGCCTAGAGCACCGTCTGCTGTTAAAAACTAGCCTTGAGCGCACCTGCTTTTAAAAACTAGCCTAGAGCGCCATCTGGTGTTAAAAACTAGTGTAGAGCATCATCTGCTGTTAAAAACTAGCCTAGAGCGCCATCTGGTGTTAAAAACTCGCATAGAGTTCCATATGCTGTTAAAAACCAGCCTATAGCGCCATCTGCTGTTATAAAACTAGCCTTGAGCACCGTCTGCTGGTAAAAACTAGCCCAGAGCGCCATCTGCTGTTATAAAACTAGCCTAGAGCACCGTTTGCTGGTAAAAACTAGCCCAGAGCGCCATCTGCTGTAAACACTAGCCTAGACTACCATCTGCTGTTAAAACTAGCCTAGAGCGCCATCTGGTGTGGTTAAAAAACTAGCCTAGAGCACCGTCTGCTGTTAAAACTAGCCTAGAGCGCCATCTGGTGTGGTTAAAAAACTAGCCTAGAGCACCGTCTGCTGTTAAAACTAGCCTAGAGCGCCATCTGGTGTGGTTAAAAAACTAGCCTAGAGCACCGTCTGCTGTTAAAAACTACCCTATAGCGCCGTCTGCTGTTAAAACTAGCCTAGAGCGCCGTCTGCTGTTAAAACTAGCCTATAGCACCGTCTGCTGTTAAAACTAGCCTAGAGCGCCATCTGGTGTGGTTAAAAAACTAGCCTAGAGCACCGTCTGCTGTTAAAAACTACCCTATAGCGCCGTCTGCTGTTAAAACTAGCCTAGAGCGCCGTCTGCTGTTAAAACTAGCCTAGAGTGCCTTTTACTATTTAAAAACTAGTCTAGAGCACCGTCTGTTGTTAAAAACTAGCATAGAGCGCCATCTGTTGTTAAAAGCTAGCCTCCTAGCTTGACGTCTGTTTTTAAAAACTAGCCTAGAGCACCATCTGCTTTTAAATCTAGCGTAAAGTTAACTATCTGTATGTTTTCTCTCTGGAGGTAAGCTGATTGTTTAAGTTTGCTGCTGCGACTTTTCTTTCTGATGTCAATATTGGTGTTTCTCTTTGTTTCTCTGTACAGTCAGTGAGGAGGAGGAGCTGACCGTGAAGGATGCTGTGGACGCAATCGTTGAAGGTTTTGGGTTCAAAGGTGAAGTGATTGTATCCTTTCAACACAAGCAGCAGCAGTTACTTTTACAGCTGACAAAATAAGATATTTAGCAGAATGTCCAGGATGCACCATAACAAATAATGGGAATCATTAGTTACAAAGTTACCAGTTACTGTAATCAAATTACTTTTCCACTGAAAAAATTAAGGGATTACTTTTCATTTGTAGGTAAATTAATCACAGTTACTTATATATTTGGCTTTAATTCTGTAATTAAATCCAACAGTTGTGTATAAATAATTTCAGAGGAATATATGTTTTTTAGTTATTTAGCTTCTCAGTGTCCATGTTCAGTCTATCCACTGTATCTGTTCAGCTGAGGGAACGAAACCAACCCAGTAAAGTCAGACAGAGCGATATTCACAATAGCAGCGACTTTGTAACTGCCTGACACTCTGAATGGCGATGGATAGTTCTTTCCGCTGTGGTGACCCCTGATAAATAAAGGACGAAGCTGAAGGAATAAAAGAAAGATAACATTTGACTCAAAGTTAAAGGTTTAAAAGAGTTTTAATTTATCTATGCAATAAGCTTTTAAGGAGTATTGAATCAACTAATTCAGCTTCTTTTCATCTTTACTTTTAATGATGTAATTAGTAATTAATTATGTTTGAAATAACGTACCCAACACTGACGATGTGCATCATAAAAGTTGTTTTGATGATGATTTTCCTCCTTCATGAAGTGACACCGGGAAGAGTGTTTAATAACCCTTAACTAAGCGCTCTCAGTATGACACCAGTAAATCAGACGGACAGATCAAGAAAACCGCTAATAACGGCAAACTGCGCAGATACCTGCCAGACTTCAAGTTCACTCCATTCAAAGAAGGTGATCATTTACACACACACACACACACACACACACACTGAAGAAATGTAATAGTGACTGCAGTCAATAAAGCAAGATTTTTTCATAACTGCTTCTTTCTTTTTTCCAGCCGTCAAGGAGACGTGTGATTGGTTCGCAGCCAATTATGAAACCGCCCGTACATGAAGATCCTCATTAGCTCTGGAGAGTTTAACTACTGTTCAGTGCTAGAAATGAAGCAATGACTGATCAAACTGTTTGAAAAGGCCTTAATTTTGGTACATGAAATAACTCGATGTTAAAGAGCCCCTATTATGGGGAAATGAGCTTCTATGCAGTGTGTAGCACAGCTCTAAGTGAATGAAAACATCCAGCTGAGGTTTAAATCTGAAAGTGCACAGTGTTTAAAACTATTATCTCACAAACAAAAAGAGTCACGACTCAAGAGTTCATTCAGGTTTCCAACACCATGTCACGGCAATTCGTAACTTTTCGTTTAGTAGCTAATTGGTTTGAATTCGTATGGTCTTATTCCTATATTTTAGTTTGAGTTTTTTCCTCCCCCAATGATAGTTGAGTTTAGGGATGGGGTTTGGTGCCACGCCCCCTTTTTACATTGTTTTTATTTAATTATATTTAATTTTCGTACTACTGAATTTGTACAAATTAGTCACTAAACTGACAATACATTTCCTCTTGAGATCAGCAGGCTGGAAAGTCTGACCGGTGGCTGTTTAAAAACACCAGTAGATGGCGCCAAACGCTTGTTTTTATACAATGCGATCTCACACCAATTCATAACTTTGATTTAGTGACTAATTCATATGAAATTGTATGATGCCATTCGTTCATTTTAGTATGATTTTCTCATCCCCCAATGACGGTTGGGTTTAGGGGTGCGGTTTGGTGCCACAATTTCTTTTAAAAATTGGACATTTTTGTACCACTGAACACGTAGGAGTTCATACAATTTAGTGACTGAACTGACAAAACGTAAAATAGTTACGTTCTCTCGTAAGATCAGCAGGCTGGAAAGAATAGATCAGTAGCTGTTTAAAAAAATACCAGTAGATGGCGCCAAACACATGGTTAAATATGATGTTATCTCCTGCCAATTCATAATTTTGATTTAGTGGCTAGTTCGAATGAATTTGTACGATCTCATTTGTACATTTTAGTATGATTTGATCATCCTCCATTAATAGTTTGGTTTAGGGATGGGGTTTGGTGCCACGCCCCTTTTTTAACATTTTTTATTTAATTTTCGTACTACTGAACTTGTATAAATTCGTACAAATTAGTCACTAAACTGACAATACGTGAAATAGTTATGTTTCCTTGTGAGATCAGCAGGCTGGAAAATCTGACCGGCGGCTGTTTAGAAAAACACCAGTAGATGGCACCAAACACATTGTGTTATACAATGTTATCTCACGCCAATTCATAAATTTGATTTAGGGGCTAATTCATGTGAATTTTGATGCCATTTGCTCATTTTAGTATGATTTTCTTATGCCCCAATGATGGGTGGGTTTAGGGGTGGGGTTTGGTGCCACGAGTTCTTTTAAAAATTGGACATAGAAGTTCATAATATTCACACATAGGAGTTCTAATGATTTAGTGACTAAACTGACAAAACGTAAAATAAGTATGAATGGTAAAGTTATCTCGTGACATCAGCTGGCTGCAAACGATAGATCAGCGGCTGTTTAAAAAAACACCAGTAGATGGCGCCAAGCACGTGATGTTCTCTCCTGCCAGTTCATAACCTTGATTTAGTGGCTAATTCGAATGAATTTGTACAATCCCATTCATACAATTTAGTATGATTTGCTCATCCTCCAATGATTGTTGGGTTTAGGGGTTTAGTTTGGTGCCACACCTCCTTTTAAAAAACGTACATTTTCATACTACTGAACACATGAATTTGTACAAATTAGTCTCTAAACTGGCAAAATGTGAAATAGTTACGTTTCCTCGTGAGAACAGCAGACGGGAAAAGATAGATCAGCAGCTGTTTAAATAAACACTGGTAGATGGCGCCAAACACATGGTTAAATAAGACGCTATCTCCACCAATTCATAACTTTGATTTAGTGGCTGATTCGTATAAATTTGTATGATGCTATTTATACAATTTAGTATGATTTTCTCACCCCCAATGATGGTTGGGTTTAGGGGTGGAGTTTGGTGCTACCCTCCTTTGAATTTTTTTTACATTTTTGTATGACTAAACTTATATGAATTAGCGACTAAATAGACAAAATGTGCCGTCCTTAAGTTTCCTCATGAGATCAGCAGACTGGAAAATCTGACCAGCGGCTGTTTTAAAAAAACACCAGTAAATGGCGCCAAACACATTGTTATTTAATATGTTAATCTCTAATTACTAACTTTGATTTAGCGGCTAATTTGTATGAATTCGTGTGATGCCATTCGTTCATTTTAGTATACTTTTCTCATCTCCCAGTAAAGGTTGGGTTTAGGGGTGGGGTTTGGTGACACGCCTCCTTTTAAAAATCATACATTTTCATAACCACTGAACTTTTATGAATTTGTCTAAATTAGCCACTAAATCATCAAAGTGTGAAATAGTTATGTTTCCTTGTGAGATCAGCAGGCTGGAAAATTTGACCAGCAGCTGTTTAGAAAAGCACCAGTAGATGGCGCCAAACACATTGTGTTATTCAATGCTACTTAACACCAACTTTTATTTAGTGGCTAATTCGTATGAATTCATACGATATCCTTTGTACAATTTAGTACGATTAACTCATCATACCCTAATGACTAATGTTGAGTTCAGGGGCGGGGTTTGGTGGTGCCACTTTTAAAAATCGTACATTTTTGTATAAATTCGCCATTAAACTAACAAAACGTAAAATAGTTACGTTTCCTCATGAGATCAGGCCGGGATTTCAGATCTTATCAGTTTTGTCATCATCGAAACACAGACCCAGGAAAAGTCTAGTAGTTACACTTTTGTTGCAGTGTCGATTAACACTGAATGTATGTCATCATTACTTCTCGGAGTTACAGTTAAGAATAAAGCAATATGCTGGTGTTTAATTGGGATGTTTTAATGAGTTTCTGCATTGGGCTCACATATTGACCGGATCATTGAACCAATCATTTAGGATAGTTGGGTAAAAATAAATGCATAACATAAGGCATATTAAAAGTGTTTTTTGACCTTGCATGCATTTTAGCCTGTTGTTGGAAACCCCCAGAACTACAATATGACCTTTAATGATGCATAATAGGGGCTCTTTAACATGATCTTGTTATGTTTTTTTCATATAAACCACTCTTTGTGCTGTGTTTGGTGTTTATTTGGGTTTATTTTTATAATGATGTTTGGTTTACATTCATAATATATTAAATTCAAAGTAAGAATGTTTTACTTTATCGCTAAATTGTGGATTATTTTAGTTAGTAGGATCATTCTAGTAGTTTGTTCATTTGCAGCGATTAAAAAATAAATAAAATTGCTTTTAAAATAATCTGAAGTGTGTGTGCATTCTGGCTATAAGATGACAAGGATGATTCATTTACTTTGTTATTTATAATCACTTATTAAATTAATCAAGTGATAATTTTAAGAATGCATTTAATTTTGCAAAGCTTATTATGACTGTGTGTTTTGAAGGGGAAATAATGGCTGTCAGTAGTTCAGAGTAATTCAGCATTTGTTGTATAGCTTCATCTGTCTGCCTACTGCTGGCTGAAAGAAAAAAGTGAATGGCTATTTTACGTATTGTTCTGTTACAAAAAAGAAAAAAAACTAGATGTCTCTTCACCATGTGGTCAGAGAATTTCATCAACATCGCAGGTAATGTTGTCATTAGCAAGACACCTTGAAAAGAAACATCTTGAGTGATGAGTCAATCCTTGTATTGCTGCTTGGCACTGTGTATCGGCTTAGATTTGGCTGTACTCTCAGTCCAGCTTCCCTCAGCGTCAGGCCGTGGTTGACAGTGTGGTCAACCAGTGTCAGATCTCATTGGTCACATTCGGTCCTCTTTGAGCACCTTCTTGTCTTGGTTTTCCTCTACCTCCAGCATGCCCTCCATCTCTTCCTCTGTTGATTCCTCTTCCTCCCCTTCCTACTACTCCTCCTCCTCTTCCTCCTTGTACTCCTCGTCATTTGACTCTTTCTTTGACTCTTTCCATTGTGCTTGAAGGCCGATGAACTCACCTGCTGCTATAGTGCGTCAACACCTGAATGGTGTGTCTAAAATTAAGCAAACAAGCGTTTGCACACCTGATGACTGTGTTGAACTAATTGGTTGGACGGTGCTGTAATTTGACAGTCAGTGCTTTGGTATTGCAAGGAAGTGACTTCATGATAGATTTATGTGTGTAAAGCTGCGGTCACACTGGGCTTTTCCTCCCATAGACTTCCATTCATACACACGCGAATGCGTCAGACGGGAAATGTGATTTTACAGCTTTTTTATTGTTAATAAATTTGCAACAATTTCAAAAACTCTTTGTTCACATTGTCATTATGGGGGATTGTGTGTAGAATGTTGAGGAAATCAATTAATTTAATCAGTTTTGGAATAAGGCTGTGACATAAACAAATGTGGAAAGTGAAGCGACATCAATACTTTCCAGATGCACTGTACATGTTGATTTATTTATTGTTATGGCCGGGGCAACACGGTGGCTCAGTGGTTAGCACTGTGGCCTCACAGTAAGAAGATCGCTGGTTCGAGCCATGGCTCATTTCTGTGTGGAGTTTGCATGTTCTCATGTTGGTGTTGGTTTCCTCCACAGTCCAAACACATGCGCTATAGGGGAACTGATGAACTAAACTGGCCGTAGTGTATAAGCGCGTGTGTGAATGGGTGTTCCCAGTACTGGGTTGCGGCTGAAAGGACATCCGCTGTGTAAAACACATGCTGGAATAGTTGGCGGTTCATTCCGCTGTAGCCACCCTTGATAAAAAAAAAGGTACTAAGCCAAAGGAAAAATGAATGAATAAAAAAAAACAAGGCTAAACTTAGGCTGTCAGTGAAAATCTAAATGATGTCTAAATAATAGCTTAAAACTCGACTAGTCAAAGTCAAGTCAAAGTCAGCTTTATTGTCAATTCAGCCACATGTACAAGACATACAGAGAATCGAAATTGCGTTACTCTCAGACCCAAGGTGCTTAACATTAATATAAAATATATATATAAAAAATAGTAGAGTTTAAGAAAAAAAGAAAATTTAGAAAATTTACAGTATATACATTGCACATAAATGTGGTCTAAGAAATATACATATGTAATAAAAAATTGTAAACAATACAGTGACATTAAGGTACTTAATGTCACCAAATACACAGAAATAAAGAAGTCTGTCTTACATGTGTATTTGATGACTTGTCTAGTGTTTGGGTTTTTCTAGCACACAGGTGTCAAACTCAGTTCCAAAAGGGCCGCAGCTCTGCACAGTTTAGTTCCAACCCTAATCAAACACACCTGATCAAACTAATCGAGTCCTTCAGGCTTGTTTGAAACCTACAGGTAAGTGTGTTGGAGCAGGATTGGAACTAAACTGTGCAGGGCATCGGCCCTCCAGGAATTGAGTTTGACACTGCTGCTGCGTTTGGTGCTTCTTTGCATTTCTTATGTTGGTTTACTTCTTATCTCTCCTGTCGTCAACATTATATCAGTCTCCTATATTGGTCTATAAGTCATTTACTGCTATGGTTTCTCGCGGTGTTCGTCAGGGTTCTGTCCTACTCTTTTTGCGCTATAGGGGAATTGATTAACTAAATTGGCCGTTGTGTATGAGTGTGTGTGTGAATGAGTGTCTATGGGTGTTTTCCAGTACTGGGTTGCAGCTGGAAGGGCATCCGCTGTGTGCTGGAATAGTTGGCGGTTCATTCCACTGTGGTGACCCCTGATAAATAAAGGACTAAGCTGAATTAGAATGAATGAATGAATGTAGCTTTTATGAAGCCAGAAAGTGATGTTCATTTATTTCTTCACTGCCTTTATGTTTCTCTTTTATTTTTAACATTATAAAAATGCTAATTTACCAAGGAAAGATGTTATTTTATGCATATTTTAACATTTATATATATATATTCATATTTAATAGGCAAGTGTCATATACATAAATGTAAATTAAAAGAACACATTTTTTTACAGTATTTAAAATTTAATGCATTGAATAGTCCATGCTTGTAAATCTATTAAATTAAATTAATTAATTAAATTAAATAATTAAATTAAATCCCCCCCCCCCCCCCCCCGAATTTTCTGAATTTTAATTGTTTGATTCTGTCTCTCACAGTGGAAATGCACCTCTGCTGAAAATGTAGACCTCTCTATGATTTCTTTGTAGATGTTTAAAAAATCACAGCATGATCAAATACTTATTGACCTCACTGTATATCATTAAACTAAAGGGTAAACAAACAAGAAACGTAAACAAGAAATCACTAAAATGTTAACATAAATAAATAAATGTATACATTAAAATGCAAACACTGGGCAGTGAAGCTCTGGACTGGAGAATACAGATCAGAGCTTGACACAGAAAATGACTACTGACTAACAAGTTTATACTGAAGCTGGAGTCATTTATTGTAATTTATTACATCTAAAATCTCCAGTGAGTAATTATGCAGCCTACTTTATTTTAATACTTTAATAATATATCATATACCAAAATTACATGCAACATATGCATTTAATATAATAGTAAATATAGTTTACTCCTTACCTCGTCTAATTCTTCTTTCCATGGATCAGGAATTACAGCAACACTGATCTGCTGGATATATTGTTGACGTTGTGTGTTGTATCTTGCTCCAGTCCAGCAGATGTCAGCAGTGTACATGCTATAGTTTCGAGTCTGTACTGTAAGTCCTGAAGAAAATGCCATCCATGTGAGAAGAGTTTACAAATTAAACAGGGATCAAGTTAACAATTTAGCTGCTGCTGCTGCGTCTTTATCAAACTTACCATGAGTCTGTCAGGTGCTTCAGACAAGACCAGCGATTCACCCGTGAGTAGGTTTTGTTGACCATATACTATATTAACCTGCTGATTAAATGTTGTTTAGTGAACAGATGTCAGCAGCAGCATCTCCAGTATTATGATTGTGAAATAAAATGTCTGTTGTGAATTCAGGATGTGTTTCAGATTAAGATCGGATTCATCGGAGCGGGAAACATGGCGTTTGGCGTCGCGCAGGGAATCATCGCCTCAGGTCAACAAATACCTGACAGTACCTTAAATAACTGCATTATATCAACAGTTCTGTTTATAAAGTGTCTAGTATCATGTCAAGTACATTCAGTAGGAAAAAAATATAACAGTAGTTTAATTTATAACAAACCTACGTGCTTTTGAACCTTATATATATATATATATATATATATATATATATATATATATATATATATATATATATATTTTTTTTTTTTTTTTTTTTCCATATTTTAATCGTATAATATGTTGTATTAGGCCTGTTGTTTTGTTCATTTCTGCACTGACAGCTCGAAAGAAAGATTTACATTGATCTGAGTTCATCTGCTATGTCTCTCTATAATTTAAGCCTATAATGCAGAATTCTAGCCAACGTTTCTTTTATAGATTGATTAATTCAATAGATCGATTTTTACAAAACCTGACAATTGAAATGAGGCTTTGTATATATGAGAAAGTCTGACCTCTGCTTTATATTCGGTGACGATGTCTGTGAGTTGTTAAAATTAAAGGGCACATTTTTGCTTATAAAATATTCTATACACAACTGGTCAAAAGTTTGGGGTCAGTATGATTGTTAAATATGTTAAACTAAGCTTCTTCTGCTCACCAAGGCTGCAATTATTTCATCATAAATACAAATTGTGAAATGTTGCATAAAATAACTGTTCAAAAGTACTTTATCATTTAATTTATTCATTTATTCCAGTGATTTTAAAGATGAAATTTCAGCTTCATTACTCCAGTCACATGATCCTTCAGAAATCACTAATATTAATTATTATTATATTTATTAATGGTAATAGTAATAAAAGCAATAATGTCTGGGGTAATCATTTTATTTGAAATTACATACAATAACAAAGCAGTTATTTAAATTTTTGATAAATATTTAACAATTTAACATTTTTTACATTTAATAAATGTAGCCTTGATGAACTGAATAAGTTTTCTTAAAAACATAAAAAAAATTACTGTAAATATATATACAGTGGAAGTCAGAGTTATTAGCCCCCCTTTGTTGTTTTTTTCTTTTTAAAATATGTCCTAAATTATGTTTAACAGAGCAAGGAAATGTTGATAGTATGTCTGATAATATTTTTTCCTCTGAACAAAGTCTTATTTGTTTTATTTTGACTAGAATTAAAGCAGTTCTTAATTTTTTATGAACCATTTTAAGGTCAAATTTATTAGTTCCTTAAGCTAATTATTTTTCAAACTGTCTCCAGAACAAACCATCGTTATACAATAACTTGCCTAATTACCCTAACCTGCCTGGTTAACCTAATTAACCTAGTTAAGACTGCTTCCATCTTTTACTTTCACACAAGTACTTAGTCATTTTAGCGCACGCCTCAGATACTGTTGGCTGGTTCCTGTTGGTTGTGTGTCTTTTTTTACTGACGCCATTATAACGACACAGATCACTGCCTATTCACGAGAAAAAAGTGATTGACAGGTGTAATTATGTGTGTAACTTGCCTTTATTCATTTACTGTATGATTTGTTTATGGGTAAAACAAAGACCATGCAGGTCAGGTAGTTTAAACGGTAGGCTACAAATAATTAATTGGTCATTAATTAATTAATTATTCATAATCGAAAATCTAATCGAATCGTGACTTTAGAATCGAAAATGTAATCGAATCGAGGATTTGGAGGATCGTGACACCCTTACGTGTGATTTGTGTGGTTTTATTGACATTTTATTGCTTTTATTTTTTATGTTATAGGGAAGGTTCCACCAAGTAATATAATTATTAGTGCTCCATCCATGAACAACCTTCCTCGCTTTAAGGTAAGACCTTATGAACATTTAAATTACGCTTTTCCAAAAAAAAAATGTAAAGAAATATTTTGATATAATAAAATGTTCTACGGTTTCCCCCACAAGTCCAAAGACATGCAGTACAGGTGAATTGACCGTAGTGTATGAATGAGTGTGTTTCCCAGTGATGGGTTGCGGCTGGAAGGGCATTCCCTGCATAAACATATGCTGGATAAGTTGGTGGTTCATTCCGCTGTGGCGACCCATGATTAATAAAGGGACTAAGCCGAAAATGAATAAATACAATTTTTTAAAAATAGCTATATATATATATATATATATATATACACACACACACACACACACACACACACACACACACACACACACGGTTAAAATCTGAGGTTTACAGACATTCTAAAAAAGCAATATAAGCATTTTAAAAAATGTCTGATGGTAAATCATACTAAACGTTTACTATTTTAGCTTCAGGATTACCTAAATTATTTGCTAAATGCCAGAATAATTAGAGAATTCTTTTTTTGAGAATTTTGTATTAATTTCTAGACAGTCAAAAGTTTTCACACATTTCCTTGGTATTTTTTAGCTTTGCTATTAAATTGTAAAACTTTGGTCAAATGTTTTGGGTCTCCTTCCACAAGCTTCTCACAATAGTTGGCAAGAATTTTGGCCCATTCCTCCTGACAGAATTGCTGTGACTGAGTCAGATTTGTAGGCTGTCTTGCTCGCACAAGCTTTTTCAACTCCGCTCACACATTTTCTTTAGGATTGAGATCAGGGCTTTGTGATGGCCACTCCAAAACATTCACTCTGTTGTCCTCAAAGCACATTTTAACAAGTTTATAAGTATGCTTAGGGTCATGGTCTGTTTGGAAGACCAATTAGTGGCCAAGTTTTAATCTCCTTGAGATGTTGCTTCAGTATTTCTACATGACGTTGTTTCTTCATGATGCCATCTATGCTGTAAAGTGGACCAGTCCCTCCTGCAGCAAAACAGTCCCACAACTTAAAGATGGTGTTCCTTTGCTTGTGCGCTTTCCCCTTTGTCCTCCAAATTTAACACTGCTCATTATGGCCAAACAGTTCAATCTTAGCTCCATCAGAGCACAGGACATGTCTCCAGACATTAGTCTTTTTCCCAGTGTCATTTAGCACATTGTAATCTGGCTTTGTTGTTGATTCTGGCTTGTTGATTTCCCCATGTGGTCACACAAGGAAGCAGTGTGTTTGAGCTTTTCCTTCAATACTATTCTACAGTTGTGCCTCCAAATAACTCAAAAAATGTCAATTAGCCAATCAGAAACTTCCAAAACCTTGACATCATCATCTGAGCTTTTTCAGAGGCAGAATAATCTTATTGTATGTAAACTTGACTTTCAAGAAAAGTATAACAATTTCTCAACAAATAACTATTTCATTATTCTGCTGTTAAGCATAACACATGTGATCATCCTCACTTACCTAAAAGAGTAAAGTTTTAGTCACATTAACATCTGACTTTTTTAAATGGTGATGTGCCTTTTTATACAGTGTATGTAAACTTCTGCTTTCAACTGTGTATATATAAAAGTAGCACAAGTGATGACACCAAATAATACTCCATTTGGCTTTACTTACAAACAGCAAACAACAAAGATTAAAAATATTTGATATTTTAATGTTTAGAAAACAAAAGCACACCTGACATTTTTAAATGGATAAAGTTTAGAACATTTGTAGTTTATGAGATCTTGTATCCATATTTCTGCAGTATTGTAACAGGTTTGTGTTGATGCTCCTACAGGAGAAAGGTGTTTCAGTCACTCATTCCAATCATGAGGTTGTTGGAGGCTCTCGTTTGATCTTTCTGGCTGTCAAACCTCACATCATTCCACAAGTCCTAAAAGAAATCTCACAGGAAGTCACCAAGGAACACATCATCGTTTCCATGGCTGCCGGAATCACTATAGCAACACTCGAGGAGGTGACCATTTACATACTTTCACTTTTTATGTTTTATGTAAATTGATAGTTATCCTTACACTTTATTGTTTTGTTTGAATTCATACAGTGAAATCAAAATTATTTTACACCTTCAACATTTCTCACATTATCACAGTTTGTTAATTGTATTTTATTCTATGGTTGCCACTGTAACAGCAACTAATTGTATGGCTGTATTCTGTTCTATAGTTGCTACAGTAACACAGTGACCATAGTTGTATGGCCGTGTTCTATTTTATAGTTGCTACGGCAACACAGTGACTATAATTGTATGGCTGTGTTCCTTTTTATAGTTGCTACGGTAGCACAGCGACTATAGTTGTAAGGCTGTGTTCTGTTCTATAGTTGCTACGGTAACACGGCGACTATAGTTGTATGGCTGTGTTCTGTTTTATAGTTGCTATGGTAACAGCAACTATAGTTGTATGGCTGTGTTCTCTTCTGTACTTGCTACGGCAACGCAGTGACCATAAATGTATGGCTGTATTCCATTTTAAAGTTGCTACAGTAGCACAGCGACTATAGAAGTACGGCTATATTCTATTCTATAGTTGCCCCGGTAGCACAGCGACTGTAGTTGTACAGCTGTGTCCCGTTCTGTAGTTGCTACGGTAACACAGCAACTAGTTGAATTGTTGTGTTCCGTTCTATAGTTGCTACGTTAATACAGCGACTATAATTGTATGGCTGTATTCCGTTCTATAGTTGCTACGGCAACACAGCAACTAGTTGAATTGCTGTGTTCCGTTCTATAGTTGCTACGTTAATACAGCGACTATAATTGTATGGCTGTATTCCGTTCTATAGTTGCTACGGCAACTCAGCGACTATAGTTGTATGGCTGTGTTCCGTTCTATAGTTGCTAGGTTAATACAGCGACTAAAAGTGTATTGCTGTGTTCCGTTCTATAGTTGATACGGCAACGCAGCGACTATAGTTGTATGGCTGTGTTCCGTTCTATAGTTGCTACGGCAACTCAGCGACTATAGTTGTACGGCTGTGTTCCGTTCTATAGTTGCTAGGTTAATACAGCGACTAAAAGTGAATTGCTGTGTTCCATTCTATAGTTGATACGGCAACACAGCGACTATAGTTGTATGGCTGTATTCCGTTCTATAGTTGCTAAGGCAACTCAGCGACTACAATTGTATTGCTGTGTGCCGTTCTATAGTTGCTACGGTAACACAGCCAGTATAATTATATGATTGTGTTCTATTTTATAGTTGCTACGGTAACAGTGACTATAGTTGTATGGCTGTATTCTATTCTATAGTTGCTACGGTAACACAGCAACTGTAATTGTATGGCTGTATTTTGTTCTATAATTGCGATGGTAACACAACGACTATGGTAATATAAACAAATAACTCGAGACTGTAAGGTATATTTAACTAGTATAACTATACTACATTGTTGTCCGTGTCTCTTGTGTTTTCCAGCTGTTGCCTGCTGGAACACATGTAATCCGTATAATGCCGAATCTTCCCTGTATGCTCCTGGAGGGTGCATTACTCCTGTCCTGCGGCTCCCATGCGGGAGAGCAGGAGGAGACCCTCCTGAAGACGCTTCTTGGCCCCTGTGGGTTGGTGGAGTTTGGACCCGAGTCCTGGATCGACGCCCACGTGGGCTTGAGTGGGAGCGGCGTCGCATTCGTGAGTAGATTTTCTGTGTTAGAAAAGACTCCCCAATACACACTGAAAAGTAGTGATGGGAGAAGCAAAGCTTTTGAAACAGCACATGCTAGAGACACCTGCTGGTCAAAATGGTGCAAATGCAACAAAAACTCAGACAAAGAGTGCATTAGAGTTGACTTTTTCAAACATATCACATACTTTAAGTTGAAAGCGTGACTAATAAATGCAATTAAAAAGACTGAAATAAAAAGAAATATATTTATGCTTTTCAGGAGCCACGTGTGCACCAACTGACAGGTCAAATCTGCTTCTTTCTCTCTCTTTCAAGCTCAAAGCAAACTTGAATGCCAAAGCATTTTAGATATGTATATAAAATAGCCCATGTAGTATATTAACATCATCAAAATAATCAGCAAATGAGAAATAAATGACTAAAGTTAATAAAAACTGAAAATTTCTCAAAAACTTATCATAATTGACCCTTCCCTAAGCCACGCCCAAAAACCACCACCCACCAATCGTGGCTTAGCAACTGTAGCTACGTGCAGGGGCTCTGTCAAGCTTTCGAGCGAGTGCATATGGATTGTGCAAATCTGATAACCGGTATCCTAAAAGTTTGGACGGGATGGTGGAATTTTTTCCCTTTTCAAAACCTAAAACCCAAGAGGAGAAATGCCAGCGTGGATCAAACTGTGTGAGGGGCGCTAAAGGAGCGGAGCTAAGTTGGTTTTGTTGTGATATTCCAGACACATTCAGTCAGAAGGCAGCAATAACTCACACCTCTTACCCTAAACAGATCTAAACTGTGTTTCCTACAAAAACACAAAGCAGGTCATGTTTCACAGCGGTCTTATTCCTTTTTTTGCTTGATATTGTGAGTAATGCACCGTTTAAGCCTTCGTCATAACGTTAGTAATGTAGTCATACTAATAGCGAATAGTTCATAATGACACGAGTTATTGAATCTGCAAATCTGTTGCTAACTTTACTGAACTTCATATTTCCATCTATATCAAGCTACGAATATTTGACATTACAAATCAACAGAACAAAACCGAGATATGATCACTGAGCAGCTGCGATCAATTTACTTTACCCCAAGCTGTTTTTCAGTCCTTTGTAAAGAGCACACAAACATACTGACAGTAATAGGTGACTTACTGTTCATTGTTATGGGTCAATGATGCTAATATTCAGCACAAATCCATCAGTTTCCCCTTTCTGGCTGTTCTATCTATGAATGAACTATGAAAAAGCACAATTTTTCTCTGATATTTCACCTGTTCGCAAAAAATGACATTATATCCCTGGCAATGTCTGAAACCGGCGCACACACATTGAACAAGCCGTGCCAGGCATGAAAGCTTGACAGGCATAGCAACAGTAACTAAGGAGGGCGGGGCTTAGCGAAGGGTCCATTGCCAGATTAAAATGAGTAGATTTTTTAATAAGGCACATGCATTGATTAGCTAACCATTACTAATGGTGTACATGTTTTGCAGCCAGTTTAGATGTCATTTCGTCCTCTCTGAGAACTGTACATAGTAAAGTTTTTCGGAGTCATTTAGATTAATGAATCTGTTATTTACTTTTTCCCTTGGTATTGCGGCTGTGCGCGCTGTCAGCTGTGAAATCAGGCGAATGTAGTCTTTAAAAAAAGCAATGCAAAAACGCATATGGGCTTTAGAAAGCGAAAGCAAAAGTTGAATTCCGGACATTTTAGGAGATTTAGAAACACGGACAAGTCCTAAAAACTGTCTGCACGATTGTTGACTGGTCTCACGGGCACGGAACGAAACGGGTAAACGAGAGAAGATTTTCCACTACTTAATCGATCACGGATGTTTGGTTATATTGAGTGGATACAAAAAGTTAAAAGGATGTTAGTAATAGTAAATAAAAATAAATCAAGGACTCTGTACAAATTGTGAATAAGAAAGGAATGCAATAATTTACAAATCTCATAATCTTATTTTATTTACAATAGAATATAGCTAATATATCAAATGTTGAAAGTGAGAAATGTTTAATATTTCAGGCCAAATGTTGGCTCATTTTGGATTTCAAGGCTTTCAAGGTTGCGACAGATAGCAATAACTGGCTAGAAAAGTCAAATGTACATATTAGGAACAGCTGGAGGGTCAATTTTGCACTTAATAGGTCAATTGGCAACACAATTGTTTATAAAAAGAGCCTCTCAGTGTGGCAGTGTCTCTTATGCCGAGTTCAGACTGCGTGATTTTCAAAGTAGTCGTGTCACAGATGTGTTCACACTGCATGACTATCTGCGCTAGCGTTTGGTCGCTGCTTTGTTCACACTGCAAGATGGATTTCACATTGCATGACTTTACTATAGGAAGAATCACAGACAACTTCGTCCAAACTACGTCTCACAGCCAAAAACATGAAAGAAGCCTTTAATGGGGTAGAAAATGTGCATATTTGCTCACCTGGGTTTGAAGGGAATCAGCAATGTCACCTCAACTTTCTTTTTTAACTTTCTGTATGAAACGTCAAACAGACACGGTGCTCCTGCCAAACCTCCACTAGTTTTTCCTCCATTTCTTGAGTCCAAATAAAACGAAGAGGGCTTTTAACTTCTCCCCCAACCTCCTGCTTACCTGCAGGTACCAATGGTACACACACACACACATAAATGAAAGCTGCTCTCTCATTGGCTGTAGGTGATCGCTGATGTTATTTTCAGTCAACTCCTTTCACACGGCATGACTTGAATCGCGGACAGCTCCAGATATTCAGCACGACTACATACATGACAGTCAACGACAAAAGGAAAAGAAAAAGACTCAAACATCCGTCGCAAAATAAAATGTTACATTATCGAAATGAACTGAACTGAGCTCCCATACATGCGTGCTTACATCTCAAAGGTAAAACAACCACAGGAATAGTCCTCTTAAAGGGGACACTTATACACAATGCATATCAAACATTAAGCGACCGTTACAATATCACAATAATTAACCTCGAAAAAAAAACGAGCAATCACTAACTTACCAGACTGCTGTTGTGTTTGCGATAAGGAGGGACGAGGCTGAATCCAGCTTCTTATTCGCAGCTTCTTATTGACTCTATCCAGTCCACCTTAACCACGAGGCTTCCGTTTTCAGCTTTTTTATTTGCGCTCAGGAAAACACACTAAGCAAGGGCTTATTATGCGGTTCTGGCACCATCTTGTGGCCGCCGACAAGCTCTCTTAGAAATTGTAAATATTTTAAAATAGCCACTGTTCTTTCATATAAACTGCATAGTTGCAATCTAAACAACTACAATCTCCACTAAGAAAAGCCTCAAAAGTACATTTTGTTGTCTAACAACAGTAAAATTTGTCAAACTGTAGAGTCTCTGCTTGTTGCTTGCTGTATCTGGGCGGAGTAATACACAGTGAAGGGGGAAGAGGCCTTTGTGTGATGTTACTGGCAAAATATATAGCACGGCTATCAGCCAATCAGATTCAAGAACCAGACAGAACTGTTGTATAATAGCTATTATAAACTAATATTCATTCGTATATTGACTATTCATTCATATTCAACTTAAGAGCTATTTTCAACCTATACTGAAGCGGTAATCTAACTACACTAGCTCTAAATAAACTATAAATATTGATTCAAAACTGATTCGAAACAAAAGATTTGTAAAGCATGCAAGACGCATCTCTGCTGTTCGCTGTAATGTGAAGTGGAGCTGAACAATAAGTAAATAAATTGCCTTTACTATTTAGCAAAAGCTGCGATTGTCTTGCACATCATGTTAGGGAAGTACAGTGATGTGATCTCCTCCAGAAGGAAAAAATTAATATTATTATTCCCTCCAGAACTGTCTTGAGCATCTGTCTGCGCTCCTGCAAATGCCACCGATTATGTTTTATGCCATATTAGTTCGAGTTTGATACATAAATCATCTGCCAAAAGTATGACAAAGTACTTTCTGATGGTATAAGTGTTTTTATTTACGGAGATCATCTACATGCAGAGATTTCAGGTGTCGTTTCATCAGTTTTCAGTGTTTCGGGACTGGATTGGGGGATTTTTTTTTTTTTTTTTTTGTCGCGGTTTTCCAGCTGTGTGTGTTTTTCACAGGTGTATGTGTTCGCGGAGGCGCTGGCAGATGGTGCTGTTAAGATGGGGATGCCCAGCACTCTGGCTCGACGCATTGCAGCACAGACAATACTGGTGGGTGTTTTATATTTTCTGCATTTAATAGCCAGACGGGTTTAGCAGAGAAGTTTAAGCAGGCAAAACTAAATGCATCAGGAGATTTTAACATTTTATTTAGTATAATTTGCTGTTATTTGCTAGAATTACATTTTTACTTACTTATTTGATTTTTTTTATATCTTATGGCTGCAGTTTAAAAGTGATTTATTTTTTCTTTCTATTTATTTATCCTTTTATGTGCTTGTTAGAATTTTTGTTAATCGTTGTTGGAGGTAAAATAGTTTAAAACTGTCATTTTTGCAACTTTGTTTTCTCTAAAAAACATTCTGTCGCTCCATTTAAACATTTTTTTTTTATTTTTAAAGTAATTTTCATGTGTAGTTTAAAACACAAATTTACATTTACATTTAGTCATTTAGCAGACACTTTTATCCAAATCGATTTACAAATGAGGACAAGGAAGCAATTTACACAACTAAGAGCAACAATGAATAAGTGCTGTAGACAAGTTTTAGGTGTGTAAAGTGTAAGACGCAAAACATTAGTAATTTTTTTTGTAGTACAGTTAGTAGTGGAGCCAGAGAGGCAATTGCAGATTAGGAAGTGTAGTGGAGACTAAATAGTTGAGTTTTTAGTTGTTTCTTGAAGACAGCGAGTGACTCTGCCGTTCTGATGCAGTTAGGGAGTTCATTCCACCAACTGGGCAGATTGAATGCGAGCGTTCGGGAAAGTGATTTCTTCCCTCTTTGGGACTTTCTGTTCATTCACAGAACGCAAGTTTCTGGAGGACACATACATCTGCAGAAGTGAGAGCAGATAAGGAGCAAAGCCAGAAGTCGCTTTGTAGGCAAACATCAGAGCTTTGAATTTGATGCGAGCAGCAACTGGCAGCCAGTGCAAACGGATGAGCAGCGGAGTGACATGTGCTCTTTTAGGTTCATTGAAGACCACTCATGCTGCTACGTTCTGAAGCAGCTGAAGAGGTTTGATAGAGTTAGCTGGAAGCCCGGCTAGTAGAGAGTTGCAATAGTCCAGTCTGGAGAGAACAAGAGCTTGAACAAGGAGTTGAGCTGCATGTTCAGATAGGAAGGGTCGGACCTTTCTGATGTTATAGAGTGCGAATCAGAGTGCGAATCAGCAGTTCTAGAAATGTGGTCAGAGAAGTTTAGTTGTTCATCAATCGTTACTCCAAGGCTTTTCACCATTTTGTATGCAGTAATGGTTGCCCCATCCATCTGGATTGAAAAGTTATGGTGTAGAGTCGGGTTGGCAGAAACTACAAGCATTTCTGTTTTCGTGAGGTTCAGCTGAAGATGATGATCTTTCATCCAGTGTGAAATGTCTGACAGGCAGGCTGAGATGCGAGCTGGAACCGAGAGATCATCAGGATGAAAAGAGAGGTATAGCTGGGTATCATCAGCATAGCAGTGGTAGGAAAATCCATGTTTCTGGATGACTGGTCCTAGAGATGTCATGTAGATGTCTGTGCGTGTGTGTTCAGGGTGCTGGAGTGTTACTGCGGGACTCCGGGAAGCTGCCGGCGGAGCTGAAGGCCGAGGTTTGCACTCCTGGAGGAACCACCATTCACGGCATCCACGCGCTGGAGAAAGGAGGATTCAGAGCGGCTGCGATTGGCGCGGTGGAGGCGGCGTCAGAAAGAGCTCGAGAACTTGGAAACAAGCAGAAGAAGAACTGAATCATCCTACAGGAGAGATAAAGCTGCAGTTAAAGCAGGGGTGTCCAAACTCTGTCCTGGAGGGCCGGTGTCCTGCATAGTTTAGCTCCAACTTCCTTCAACAGGCATACCTGCCAACATTTGGGTTATTGGGTGGCTGAACTGAAGAGCGGGGAGCGGGTATGGAGATGGTTGCGCGTTGGGTTTGATACGCAAGGGGTCTGTACCAAAAAGCAGAACAATACGGGAGATGGGTCTGAAATACGGGAGACTCCCGGGAAAAACAGGAGTGTTGGCAGGTATGTCCACACATCTGCCTGGAAGTTTCTAGTTTACCTAGTAAGAGCTTGATTAGTTGCTTCTGGTGTGTTTAATTGGGGTTGGAGGTAAAATATGCAGGACACCATCTCTCCAGAACCGAATTTGGGCACCCCTGAATTAAAGGGTCAGTTCAGCCTAATATGAAAACCACCACGTTATTTACTCACCCTCAAGTCATGTTGGGTTTAAATGCCTGTTTTGAGTCAAACCAACACAATCGGAGTAGTTTTACATTTTATCTTGGCTCTTCATCTTCTTCTTTATGGTTCTTCTTTTCCCTGGGTTTTATTTACCACAAATTAATGCACTGACTATGCACTTTTCAAAATAAAAGTCACAACACCATTATACTGCATATATAGTGGTGTTGATAGACTTTTATTTTGAAAAGTACATATTTAGTGCATAGGTTTGTGGTCAAACTAACCCATACCCCACCAGGGGGTTAATTTATGTCTAATAAAACCAATTCATGTGTTTTCATAAAATAAATATTTATAATTTTTTAATCATTAAATTATAAACTCAATACCAAACCCCCTGAATCTTCTTTTTCTTCTTGATTTATGTAGTTTTATTATTGTTTTGCGGTTTAAATTACTGCCACCTACTAGAATTGGATTTGGATTTGGAAATATGCTGTATTATTTATTAAAAAATAAATTGCAGTCACTCCCTTTCCTTTGAATGTGTCTCGCATCAAGTCAGAGATTTCTATGACAAGGTTATTACATTTATTAAAGAAAGTCAGATAAAATAAAATGATCGAATCTAAATTATACTGAATGTATAAATGTTTATTTATTTATTTAAACACACACACTATGCACTATGATTAAGGTTATATAGTCTGGATAATGACATTCTTTCACAAATGTAATCGCCTATTTATAGCACTAGAAACGTCTGACTCGACGTAAGATGCAAGCTCCAGGAATAGACACATCTGTCAGGAACCATTTCCCACACAGTTTGTTTACCACCTAAAGATGACGCCCAACAAGTAAACTGGTCGGCTTGGCATTACTGTATAATGTTAGACAGTGTATCACTCTTAATAAAGCTGCACACACGCGTCGACCCGTCATATACTGCGTTAGAATGCTACAAGAAGCGAATGCTTAGAGTTCAAAAATTAGGAATATTTGTGTTACAAAAACACATAGATCTGTTTTATAACACAGAGTGTGGGTTATTTTGGCAATAAATTGATGTGCTTTAGAAAGCTTCAAAATAAAAGTCACTACCCAACAACTGTATACAGTATGAAGAGGCAGGATAACATTAAAAACTCTTGACACTTATGAATAAGAAGTGTATAAGCAGAGGATGGCTTGAGAGAGAGTAAATTATAGGCTGATTTAAGTTTTGTGATGAACTATGCCTTTAAATCCCACTTATGTCTTATTTCAGTGTTTCTCAACCACGTTCCTGGTAGACCACCAGCTCTGCACGTTTACCATGTCTCTTTAAGCAAACACACCTGATTCAGATCATCAGCAGAGACTGAAAGACCTGTAATGGTGTGACAGACAAAAGTGAAGAGACATCCAAAACATTCTGGTGGTCCTCCAGGAACGTGGTTGAGAATCACTTATACGGATTATATATTTAATATGAAGTAATTTATTAATTCAAAATAAAAGTCACTAACAAAACCACTTTATACAGCATGAAGAGCCAGGATAACATTTTAAACTCCTCCTACTGTGTTTGTCTGAAGTATATAGACTGAGGATGGCTTGAGGGAGAGTAAACTATGGCCTGATTTAAATTTTGTGGTGAACTATGCCTTTAAATCCCACTTATGTCTTATTTTAAGTGTTTCTCAACCACATTCCTTGAGGACCACCAGCTCTGCACATTCTCCATATCTCCTTAACCAAACACACCTGATTCAGATCATCAGCAAAGACTGAAAGACCTGGAATGGGTGTGACAGACAAAGGAGACATCAAAAAAAACGCAGTGCTGGTGGTCCTCCAGGAACATGGTTGAGAAACACTGATATACGGAATATATATTTAATATAATATACATGAAGTGATTGTTTGCAGTTTATCATTTAAAACTTAGAAATATTTTTATAACAAAAACAAAATCTGCTTTATAAGACAGAGTATGGGTTCGTTTGTCGACAAATTGATGCGTTTTTGAAAGCTTCAAAATAAAAGTCCCTAACCAACAACTTTATACAGCATGAAGAGCCAGAGTACAATTTAAAAACTACTCCGACTGTGATCATCTAACAAAAAAACAAACAAACGGAGGAGTAAATTATGGGCTAATTGTAATATTAGAGTGAACTGTCCCTTTAAAACCCACTTATGTCTTATTTCAGTGTTTCTCAACCACGTTCCTGAAGGACCACCAGCTCTGCACATTCTCCGTATCTCCTTAACCAAACACACCAGATTCAGATCATCAGCTCATTAACAGAGACTGAAAGACCTGTAATGATAAAGGAGATATCCAAAACCTGCAGTGCTGGTGGTCCTCCAGGAATGTGGTTGAGAATCACTTATACGGATTATATATTTAATATGAAGTAATTTGTTAATTCAAAATAAAAGTCACTAACAAAACCACTTTATACAGCATGAAGAGCCAGGATAACATTTTAAACTTCTCCTGTGTTTGTCTGAAGCATTTAGACTGAGGATGGCTTGAGGGAGAGTAAATTTTGGGCTCATTTAAATTTTGGGGTGAGCTATGCCTTTAAATCCCACTTATGTCTGTCTTAAGTGTTTCTCAACCACGTTCATGGAGGACCACCAGCTCTGCACATTTTCCATATCTCTTTAACCAACCACACCTGATTCAGATCATCAGCAGAAACTGAAAGACCTGGAATGGGTGTGACAAAGGAGACATCCAAAACATGCAGTGCTGGTGGTCCTCCAGGAACGTGGTTGAGAAACACTGATATACGGAATATATATTTAATATAATATACATGAAGTGATTGTTTGCAGTTTATCATTTAAAAATTTGAAATATTTTATTACACAAACACGTTGATCTGTTTTATAGCACAGAGTATGAGTTAGTTTGGCCAAAAAAAAAATGGTTGTGCTTTTGAAAGCTTCAAAATAAAAGTCCAAAAACTTTATACAGCATGAAGAGCCAGGATCAAATTTAAAACTACACCATGTTCGTCTAATAGAAAAATAGCACAAAATGGGGAGTAAATTATGGGCTAA